TGAATCTAACTGTAGATTATTGATTTTGAGCCCTGTTTTAAAATTATTCCACATTGAGATCCAAGTATTCCGTACTTAAACTTTGTTTGATTTCATCCAAAAATGAATTATTCGGATTCTTTGATATGCCGAATCTAACCGTGTATTTAGATTTTTAAGCTTTGGACCCCGATTTCAAATCAGTTTATAGAGTCCAAATCAAATTTTGTTTGATTTCAACAAAAATTAAATTCTGAGGGTTCTCTGTAATGCTGAATTTAACCGTTTATTTCGTTTTTTTTTTGTTTTGGGCCCTGGTCCACATTAAGGTCCAAGGAGTCCAAGATTAAACTCAGTTTGATTTTGTTAAAAATTGAATTATTGAGGTTCTTTAAAATGTAAAACTAAACTTGTACTTAGACTTTTTATTTTGGGCCCAGTTTTGAAGTCCAATTTGGGGTCCAAAATAAAACTTTGTTTGATTTCAACAAAAAATTAATACATGGGTTTTTATACGACCGCAAAATTTTGCGATGGTATTATGTTATGGCGTCCGAAGACATTTGTCGTCCGAACACATTTTTCGTCCGAAGACTTGTGTCGTCCGAAGACATTTTGTCGTCGGAAGACATTTTGGTTTCCAGACAGTAACTTGAGTATGAGTTTATGGATCTCTATGAAATTGTAGCACAACGTTGCATACCACAATTGGAAGGTTGGGATTGATTTTGGGGGTTATTGTCTTAGCTTTTTAGGAATAAGGGGTCAAAAAAGGGCCAAAAACAGCACTTTTCTTGTTTCAGGACAATAACTTATGTATAAGTGTATGGATCTCTATGAAATGTTACAACAAGGTTCCATACCATAAAGGAAGGTTGGGATTGATTTTGGAGGACCCTAACCGTTAAGGAAAAAGGGGCCAAAAACAATACTTTTGTAATACTTTGTATACATTGCTGATTTCTTGACCAATTTCAATGGGGTTTATTTCAAAGTCTTGAATTCTTTGGGTTCTTTAATATGCTGAATCTAACTGTGTATTTAGAATTTAGATTTTGGTTTGGACTCCGTTTTTGAATAGGTCATATAAAGGTCTAAAATTCCAAAATTAAACTTTGTTTGATTTCATCAAAAATTGAATTATTGGTGTTCTTTGATATGCCGAATCTAACTGTGTATTTAGATTTTTAATTTTGGGAACGGTTTTAAAATTGGTCTACATTAAAGTCCAAAGGGTCAAAAATTTAACTTTGTTTGATTTTAACAAAAAATGAATTATAGGGGTTCTTTGATATGCTGAATCTAAACATGTATTACGATTTTTAATTTTGGGCCCAATTTTTAAGTTGGTCCAAATCGGGATCCAAAATAACACTTTGTTTGATTTAAAAAAAAATTGAATATATGAGGTTCTTTGATATGCTGAATCTAACCGTGTATTTAGATTTTGGATTTTGGGCCCTGTTATCATATTAGTCCACGTTGAGGTCCAAAGGGTCCAAAATTAATTCTTGGGGTTCTTTGATCATGTTGATATGCCGATTCTAACCATGTATATATATTTTGGATATTGGACCATAATAGGTAAATATCCAATTCAAATTTTTAAGTTCTTTGACCACATTTATTCTGTGTCAGAAACCTATGATGTGTCAAATATTTAATCATAATCCAAATTCAGAGCTGTATCAAGTTTGAATGTAATGTCCATACTTGCCTCAACTGTTCAGTGTATGACCTCTGCGGTCGTATCAAGCTGCGCCCCGCGGAGCATTTTATTTATATCCTGAATCTAACCGTGTATATAGACTTTGGATTGTGGGCCTTGTTATCAAATTGGTCCACATTGAGGTCCAAAGGCTCAAAAAATAAACTTTGCTTGTTTTCATCTAAAATTAAATTGTTGGGGTTCCTTGATACGCTGAATCTAACCATGGTTTTAGATTTTGGATATTGGACCTTAATAGGTAAATGTCCAATTGGAAATTTTAAGTTGTTAGACAACATTCATTCTATGTCAGAAACCTATGCTGTATCAAATATTTAATCACAATCCAAATTCAGAACTGTATCAAGCTTGAATGTTGTGTCCATACTTGCCCCAACTGTTCATGGTTCGACCTCTGCGATCGCACCAAGCTGCACTATATGAACTATTTCTTGAAGGGTTATAAAATTGAAGATTATCCAATTGGACCAGTGCTCAACACGTCACGCATGGAGAGGTATTTTGAAGTAACATAGTGTACTTCGAATTATGCCTCGAGCTCTTGTCAATGCTCTCTTTCAAAAGGCTCGGTTTACTATTACATTCACATTGTTTGACGTTTCATTTGCATACTCAAAGAGTTCTGTTTCTGTTTGATGTATACTCAAGTAGCTCGTAATTTTCTCCTGAACTGTTAATGAAAGAACAGGGTTAAATTTATTTAGAATCATAGTAATACATCTACACTTTGTCGTTGTGCCAGTGCCGCTATAGATGCTTGAATGTTGTGAATTTAATGTCTTATTGTTTAGATGTATTTTAAAAAATTTATTATTTTAATACATAGCAACTAACACCATGTTGCCCGTAATGCCACATTTTTATTGTGTTTATTTTATTTTATGAGAAACTACAGAGTCTGGATATTTGCAGATACATTTGTAATTAATATATTATCACAAAGTAATTTGATCACTTATTCATACTAAGACGTCAAATAGTTTATCTTAATTGGGTAACTTCCTCCGGTCGTTCAGTATGTTCTACAGATGTGTAATGTTGTAGCCTGGAACCTGCACTAAAATCTGATGCCAGCTGAGGAGAGTTCAACGCTCGTTCAATTCTTTGTTTATATCAAAAACGGCACATAAAATGATTTATTATCTAAAATGACCCAAGCGTACGAATACAACGTGTAGTACTATGGTAAGGCTTATTCGGTATTGGTTATTTAGCAAAACAAATTTAGTTGCATTATAAGTAGAAGTAGAAGTAGTATTTTGAGAAACTTTTATATAAAACTGTTATACTCACACTACTTTTTAGATCCATACAAGACATCCATAGGAGACTGACTACAGAACTAACAGATCATATAGATGCAACAATAAATAATCATGAATTCCAATGTTTGAAAAATCTATTTAAACTAACCCCAAAGGAGATTAAAGATGCTCATAACATGTCATCCCTGCTGTCCATATTAGAAAGAAAAGATATAATAGCACCAGGAAAATATGAAAAACTGACTGAAGCATTATTGAAAATTAATAATAAAATAATTAGAGAAGTTATTGAACCTATTGAAGACGAAATGAAATTACAATCCAGCAAGCTACCTTCTCAGGAACAAGTAGATAGTGTACCATATACTTCGCAAGGTAAGCTTTCTCACTACCTTTTAACTCAACTTGCCCTTAAGGTTTGTTTGAGCTAAAACCATCACTTAGCATCGACCGTCGTCTGCTTGAAACATTTTTAAATTTAAAAAAAAAGAAACTTTTGAACCAATTAAATCCAAATTTCCAATGAATAATTCTTATGATGTCGTCTTTTTGTAAAAGTTTGTGCATGTTTGTGTCAAACGCATATAAAAACCCCACAGCTTAAGCAAAGTACATAGTGGTGAAAAAATAAGGTCTAACAATTTTAAAAATTAATATCCTGGACTAGTTATAGCTGAACATAAACAATATTGCATTAGACAGGATAAAAATGAATATTTTTCACACAAAATGCAGGAAACAATTGTGTACAAAAGTGATTAATAATAATCATGCGTAGCAACAGACAAAAAATGAATAGCAAAAAAATCGTCCTGGAGAGAATACAAGTAGTCGTCCCCTTAAAGGGAAAATTAAACAGAAGGAAACATCAACAAAATTACAATATGGCTGGAACTATTAATTGTTCCCTTAGAGAAATAATTGTTCTCTACTGACTTTTTGAAACATTTTAGCGTTTTGTTTTCTATATTTGAAATACTATGACTTATAGACAGAAACTGAATATATTAAAAATGGTCAGTAATACATGATATACAAATATGTCGATTAATTTAAAACCGTTTACCAGGAGAACACATCTGACTGACATTCCATTATGATTAATGGTAAGATCTATATGTTTAATAACAGTATTCATGGTTTTACTATTTTGATCCCATAGATATTTTCTTGTTGCAAAAAACATGAGATTCTAGAGCATGAACACCAATAAATATAGTTTTTGTCTCGCTTGCGACGAAATTCGGAGAATGTGAGACATGAAGATTACAATCCGGCGGTGACAACGAACTACCGGTATGTGTCTGGGATCGCGGAATTAGAAATTCAATGGTCTGGAAAAAGGTCAATAATTATCGTCACAAGTGTTTTATTCTGTTAGAGGGGTATTCTCAAGGTACGTGAAACATATTTTATTGTAAAGATAAATCAGTTACCGGCAGACTGATGTGTGTTTATTCGTGAGAAATGCAAGGGAATGTTAGAAAATATCTGTTGAACCGAACACATAGAAAATTTTCGTTAGCTACCTTGTGATTTTTCGTACAAGTGTGGATAGTAAGCCCCCCATTGACAGTGTAAACAAGTGCCTGTGTTCTGAAGGTAGAAGACCTAGATGCTTCATACCTTGTATGCAGATACCTTATGTGACGAAGTTTTGGTCTGCCATAAGATCACTGTCTGTTGTCATAGTTCAGTGACTGCGAGTTTTTTTTGTCATGTGAAATACACACTTATTATGAGTAATATAGGATAACTTTATTTGATACATTGGATACTTGCAATGTCCACATGTCCGTCAGACAGGTTTCGCCTGAACATGGGCCGTGATGCACAACATATTTCTAGAAAACCAACCATTAAAAAAAAAACAAATAAAAAACAAAACATAACTTACTGTATTAAGCATAAGCATTACAACTGAACATAATTAAAAAAAAATTAGTTATGTGATAATTATTGCATGATAGTGAGACAACTTTACACCAAAGTATGTCAACAACTATATGCCACAGTTTCCCCACCAGTCAAGAACTTTTAAGTTAATTGAATTAATAGTATTCTATTCAATCGACGGCATAGCATTGTCAACGCATGTAGCAGTCACATTATTTCTTTATCTGCTGCCAATATCTTTGGCATGGGTACATTTTCATTAGAAAATATTTCCGTATTTGGTTTACATAAAATTGTTTACAAGAAAAGACTCACATTTACTCTTAATCTCTAAAGCAAAGTATTTCTCATTGCTTCTTCTAATTGTAGACCAAAGGTTTTGTCGTTCCCCAGGATTTTTTTCCACAGAGACAGCTCCTTCTTACAGTTTGAAGCCTCCAGGTCCAGATTATGAACTAAACATTTGGTTAACAAAAATTGCACTGAAGCTGAATGCAAAGAATTTAGACACTATGAAGTTTATTCTTGGAGGTAAGTCTAATATGTTTTATAAACGAACAAGAGATGCAGAGATCGTGTCGCCTTTGTGTTTGTCATTTTAAAGGGCATATCTATTTGCCTGTTGTTTCTATACCGATATTGTAGAGTACTCAGCCTTTTTTCATTGTTAGCTCTTATGCTTATCTTTTGACCAGATATAATGGTTTAAAAGCAAGCTGAACTTCTTCCGAAGGTTAATTTGTCTTCCGTCAGTAAAGGAATTTATCAGATATTAAATGTCTTTATTTATATCTGAATTATTTTTCTTTTTTATGGAATTCGATGATTCTTGCAGATCTTTATTTTATTTTTTTATTCAACAACATATTCATTACTGCTGTTAACAATTTTCTTTACTAGTCCAGCATTCTAGTGAAAGGTTCCTGTATTTTTTTTCCAGAAATCCAGGGTTACTCTCTGGTAAGCATCATTATATTCGACATTAGTAAGTTACATCTAAATTTAATCATATTATATCATTTTCAATCATGAAATAAACACATATATATGAAAATACTCATTTATCGATAATGTATCATTTAGCATATGTGGTAAAAATTGGTTCCAGAAATAGTTCTAACTTTTCGTTATCTATTTACTTGTATCGTTTTGAAATCTCTTCCTGGTTCGGAAATCACACCAGCTCTAATTGATTTAAAATATGATTATGAGCTATTCACAGGTATGTCTTAATTAGAAATGCAATAAAGTAATTTAGATTTTTTAATAACTATAGTATGTAACATACTCTTCTTGTTTTAACAATAAATACTGAGGTTGAAAAGTACCGTTATCAATCCACGCTTAATTGTCGGTGATAGGTAAAATTATTTCTCTAAATCTGCTCCGGATATTAAGTGCTATATTTTGTTTTTTACTTTTTCTCTTTTTTTTGTTAGATCATACATTTTCAAACATAAAAATTATAACAACAATTTGGCAACTTTATCAAGTAGACATTTATACTTTGTAGGTTAACTAGTTGCCTGTATTTTGTATCTGTACATGAATTCTGCTTTAAATACAGAATATACATCTAAAGATTTTTGTTTTCTGTTCAGACATATAATTTATTGCCTTGTATATACAGAACATTATTATTGTAATAAAATAATTAATTTCATAGTATTGCTCATCATTTATTTTATAACCCCATACTAAATTTTTCAATGTTAGAATATTATTATTAATATTCAGTTTTTCAATGAGTTTTTTTTAACTTACTCTAGAAAATATAAAGAAAGTGGCATTTAAGAAACATGTGATCATAATCTTCAGTGGTGTTGCAATATGATAATTTGAAATATTGCAGATCTTCCACTTTTTCAATAAAATTTTACAAGGTAAACTAAAATGTAGCAATTTCCAAAGGAACACTTAGCTTTGTACTTATTATATTTTTAATTCTTGCATATCTTATATAAGAATGAATAATACGAGATATAAACTATACACCAATGCTTCAGCAACCGACGACAAAAATAAACCAAATTCATCTATATTGCAAAGTACTTCTTCAATATTAGACAGCTGCAGGTGTTTACACAATGTCATGCTTTAGATAGTCCCAAGTCTTTTAAAACTGTGAAAACTTTAAAAGATAGAATGAAAGATCTGCCAGTACAACTTAATTCTCCAAGATTAAGATGAGTAAAGAGATCGGGCGATTGGAGAAAACGAATCTTCACTGACCGTTATTGAATGCAATACAAAAGTGGTTATGAGTTATATAATTATGAATTGCCGTTGATTCGGAATCAGAAAGGAACAATGTACAACACAAGTCCAGAAGTCGTCACACACACAATCAGGATAGGAAGTGGACTCCGCCATGCATGCCGCCTACTCCCAATTCTGATTGAGTATTTGACGACTTCTGACCCTACCCGCCACTCTGCAACTTTTGACCACGCTACGGTTTGATTTTATGATGGGCATAATATAAAGAGAAGACATCAATAGGCTTAAACACGCATGGTTCTTGAAACTGTCTAAGACGACTTGAGACTCACTTCAAATGCGCAGTGTCTCAAAATTGGGGAGTGGGGTAACAATAAAGATATAAGATCAATAACAAAAATGTGTGTGGTTGTTGAAACTATCAAAGTCTCAAAGGCTATTCGGGGTCTAAGAAATACCTGTTGAGAGAGTTGATTCGAACAACAACAGATCGTAGATTTGTGTGCGTTGGAAAGACGCAGACAAGGAATTCGAAGATCATGGCTCAGCGTATATATGTCTAAAAATGAGGCGGAGGACGCCGTATCTGTTGGTTCTCCAATATGTAGTTCAGGAAGATATATTAATGGGACAAGAGTGGACTTCCGGTTGGTAACCAATAAGAAGCAGGCGCTAAAACTCATCTAAAATACCGTAACTATACCTACCAATAGAAATCAGTTATCTGCTACACAGACACTTACATCATCATCTGCAATGTTGAGACCACATACCAGCTTCAAGAACGTGAACAGACATGCGTGCCTTGCTTTGACACCTCCAAGTACCAAAACGCTCACCTTTTCTGGTCTTAAGGCAGATTTGAAAATAAGAATTATTTGGATGTTCCTAGACAAGGTATGCCTGAGTTTGTAGGCTTGCGCACAAAGCTGGGCAAGGTGAGTTTGAGAAAGCCAAAGTCACAAAGAAGTGCACTGTCTGGAGATGCAAAACGGTATGAGTAACCGGACCATAAACATGACCAAGAGTCTCGGGCACCAGATCTGCATGCTTGGGTGTTACAACAGCTCACTCAGCCGACGATGACGGGTATTATAGGATGTAAACAAATGGGCGTCAAACGGGTGCATGTTCCGTTAGCAACCTGGTATTGACCAGCAGCCCCATGGGTTCAGTTTTGACGTATGTTGGTGCTGTTGTCTCCCTTCATCTTGCCTGTTTGAGTATCAACGCTGTGATGGGTTTCACGCTGATCTCAAAGCGTGTACGTAAAATATAAAAAAAAAAACGCGAAACCTTGCAATTGATGAGGCCCAATAAGTCTGTGGTTGATACTTTGGCCAATGACGAGCAAATAGAAAATGCCGAGTTTGGAAAGATCGTGAACTGTCTATTAACCTACTACGACGAGAAAGACGAGTTGCGACAACGCTTGCTCAGTTTCAGCCAGGAGCTATCAAAATGTGCGTCTTAGATTAAATCTATGCGTCATGACTTTATAATGGGGGAACATCCCAGATTCCCCTCAAATTCCAATCAGAGTTGCAGAGTGGCGGGTAGTTAAAGGGGCAACACACACGATGCCCACTCATCTGAATGAGTCTGCGAGGACTTCTGACCCTGTTTGGTTCAAAAATTATGTGCATAATTTCCTACTGATAGCAAGTTCACGTCAATTGAAAGTCGTAAAACTTCTATCCCCCTTTCTTTAATACTGCATTCCTTAGCTAAAAACCTGAAAATGCCAGTGTAGATCCGTTTTCTCCCATCGTCCGTTCCTGTCAGTCAGCCGGTCACAGACCGAAACCTTAACTTTCTCTCCTTCCCTGTCTAAGAAACTAAAGGATGTTTCCCAAACTTTCTCGGGTTCACCTTCATCTTCCCTATTTCATATTTTCAACCAACTGGAAGCTCTTTCCATTTCGATGCATATCCTCTGTTTTTTCTTTTCATGTTAGATTTTTCTACTTCTTTAATTACTTCATGGATTTGATTCTCTTAATTGAAACCCGCCAAAAATCCTTCTTAACGAGCGTGTTCATTTCTCAAATACAAAATCACCAATTCATGAAATTTAATAAAAAGAGATTACAAAATGTACTTCGAAAGAATTGTTACAAAAATTTAGTAATATACTGACTTATGTTAAGATATACCAAATGTTTTTATAAAATAATACCGCCTTTTTTAGTCTTTTAGAACAAAAGAGTAAGGTATTTCTGCCAGAAGGAGAGAAATAAAATGTAACAAAATCCGAATTATTTAGTCAACATCTTAAATTTTGACCCGCTTTATATCTGATTGAGGCACATAAAGATATATTTTTATTACAGATTTCAGGCGAAAATAGGCATAATTTTCAAAAAAAAAGCACCGTGGTATGAATTGTATCGTATGCCCAGCATGACATCAAATGTTTCTCCACGAACACTCATGTAACGTTAATCTACAAAGACCCATATGTTGCTACGCATCTTTCTTACCTCAATAACATGTATGTTGTCCCCGCAGATAGAGTACCTAGAAACTTCGTTTTTTAGGTGTAAATCACATTACTTTAACTGCTTAGCTAGGTGAATTTGGTATTGGCAGTTCACTTGAAAACTCACCATACTTTCACCATACTTGTAAAAGAGGAATTTCTAAATAAACATTATTACATTATTACAGGTCTGCCATATGTTATTTTGGAATTTAAACAAAATACGAAGAAACTTGATCTTTTATCACTGTACCATGTGTACTGGACACCAATTTTATATATAAGTTTCTTAACAATTAGCCTTATATTGTTGCTCTATAATTACCTTACATCGCAAGTGCTCAATGAAATGTAAAACGTTCTAATCTTAGGGTGAAATGAATCAGACACGGATACTAAATAAATTCAATGATCTCTTGGAGTACATATAATCTAAGTCTTTTCCCTCTCGCAATAGTATAAAAATGACTTCTCTGCATTTTACACTAGTATTCTCAATTTTGAACTTAAATACAGATTTAATGATTAGTTCAATTTTGTTTCAATTAATATACAAATGGCTTTTTTTCAGTTATGTTGTTAATAAAACCCATATATTTAAGTAAGATCCACGTAAACTCATTTATCCTTTGGAAAAATTATTCTCAAAGGATATCAATTAGACATAGTAGTAAGATTTTCGAAAATTGCTGTTATCGGTAATAACAATGCTTTTGTTTTTGATAAATTAAAACATAACTGTGAGTACTCTAAGGTCGTGACGTTGTGTCGGCTGTCTTATGTTAATTGCTTTGTTTTGTGCCAATCAGACGAGTCAAGATATTTCCAACTGATTGGTACAGTGTGTTGTAATGCACAGAAATGTTTAACCCTGCCATACTCTATAGTGGCTTGTCATGTCGAGGCTTTTTATAGCGACTATACGAAATGGGTTTTTGCTCATTGTTGAAAGTCGTTCAGTGACTTGTAGTTGGTGAAAACTGCTTCATTTGAAATTCTAAACTCTGCTGAATAGTTGTGTCATTTACAATCTTACAATATCTCCTTATTTTATTACTTTGATACGAATATCTTATTTTCGAAAGGAATAAATCAAAAGTTTTAACAAAACCACTATATGATTTGAACAAACAGTTCTCCGAAACTGACATCATCAAGATGCTTGATTATCTTATTGACAAAGTATTTGTTACGTTTTGAACAATCGGTATTCCTTTAGGGAAACAACTGTGCTCTTCTTCTTGTCTTATTGTTTATCTAATCACATGAAACAAACTTCATACAGGAGTTTCTTAGAAAGAATGAACAAAAAAAGCTTGCATTATCCCTAAACGTCAGGATCCGTTTTAAAGATGACGTCAACCATTAAATAATTCAAAGTTTGATGAATATGTTGAATGTATGATACCACAGATACAGTTAAGACTGGCTCGTATCTTGACTTACATCTAGAAATTAACAACGAGAGTCTATTTAAAACTAAACTTTTCAACTAAATGTATAATATCATATTCCCAATTGTGAACTTTCCTGCAGCTTCAGCATATAGAGAAAATATCCCCTAGTTGATATTACATTTTAAAGCTTGCGTTTTCTTCATGATGTCTTTAATAAAGGGTTACTGTCTACAATGAAACTATTGAACCAACGATTTTAAAAGGTTAATTTGAAGTCAGTCCTTTGAAAGTTTAACGGACGCCATCACGAATTGGTTGACCGTTATGGAAGATCTGTGACACAAAGGACCATGGACATGTTCCAATTGTTGTAACAACAATTTCGTCCTTGTTTTCCCGATTGTGATATCAAGACTTAGTGTGTACTTGCCATGAGCAACATGGGAGATGCCACTAGTGTAGCAGGATCTGATTATGTTTTCTTAGCGCCTCCAATCACTCTAAGATTTTGATTGGATTTATGTTGCTCAGTCTATAGTTTTATGGAGTTTTTGTCGTCTTTGGATTTTTGCCATGGTGTTGTCAGCTTTTCATCTACTTAGTAGTTATGCCACATTGTTTTATGAACAGAAACTGTAAACACTAACAATGTTTATTATTGCAATATTTACAAATAAGACAAATGGCTAAAACTATCAGTAAATTGGAGGTATTGCCTTTTATATGAAAGTTGTTTTGTAAACTCTTTATTTTCAATATTCTCTTGAAAGCAATTGTTCGTTATGAACATGTAGACGACAAAAAGATAAGCAAGCACATTGAGATCTACAAATCATTTCTAATCATTGGTTACCGTAGTAGATATTGTGATGCCTATTTAGCTTAGAGCCATTATGTAAATGATTTATTTGATCCTGATTTACTTCAATACATAACTTTGTTCTGTCAGTGAAGATCAAACTAATTGAATTGCATTGATTTTTATTTGTACACACTCGAAAACTGAATGTTTACATTTCAGACAAACAATGATTCTGTTAACAATATAACGAAAAAGGGTGCATTTCAAGATCACACTAGCATATTTTTCCCTATGATTCTGGCATTTAGGAGCATCCGATTTAATTGCCTAATGTAGTTTCGAATTTATTTATTGTAAACAGGAGAAGATGGATCTCCAAGATCAGTCTTAGAAAAAATAACATCGCCATTGCAGCTGTTTAGCCATTTAATAGATGATGGTAAATTAACACGTGATAACATTTTATTCCTGCAAGCCATGCTATATCATGCTAGAAGGATCGATCTGTATAAAAAGTTAATGGAATATGGTGAAAAGTATAAGGATACTTTACATTTTTATGAACCTAGTTGTAATCAAGGTGAGTACAATACAGAGTATCTATTTCCTTTTTCGTACTATAATTCAACACAAGTTTGACAGAACTTCATCAGTGCAATTTATATTTTCCTCCCAGCAGGATTCACACTCGAAACGTTGAGACATCAACCGAAAAAAACTGTAGTCTAGCAAAATAGATCAATCGACAAACTCGGCTACATAATATAAAAAGCTTGTGTTAGTCGACTTATAAATTTCCTTTCGAGTTGTATCTAGCATTATAATTCCTGATTTACAGTAGCTAAAAGATATATTATCAAATGACAAAAACATGAATATTGTTTAATAATTGATGACACAATAACCATATAATCACTTGACATTCACCAAATCAAAGAAACATTTGTTTATTGTATAACTCAAAAATTGTGCATTGCAAAACATGTACACGGGGTAATACTATCAAAGTGAACTAAAGTTGGCAAATAAATCAAGCAAATAATGTCATAATTAGCCCGCCAATCACCAAAATAAAGTACACTAACTAGACAAAATCACGGGTCATAATGATACAAATCAGAGACATTTCCAGGAAACAAAGGTTTGAATACAATTTTGCGCAGATAATTTGTCGGGCCTGCATAAAACTATCAAGCAGGTCGGAAGGGACAAATTAAAGTAATTAGCATAAGTGAAATCATCTGAAGACTTAATTCACCAACGGTAGTAGACTTTAAATGGGAATCGAAACTCATAAGTTAAAGAAAAACCGACAAAATCGTGGGCCAATTTTTTACTGTGGTAAAAAATTAAAACGACAGAAGAAAAACAGAGGTCTACCAAACATTATTTTAAACATTAATGCCTCAGCATTACACAAAACTAGTACATGTAGTACATCTTTTTAAGCTCATACTGTCTATAGGGCCATTTTATCTGCAGTCGTCACTATGCTTCAGTTGTCTGTCCTTCGAAATAGCATTAATTTTTTGTGGAGCCTGCGACATTTCGTAGCGATAGCGGGCACTAGTAAAACATTTTAGTTTTAAACTATCATGTTGATCTTAACATCATCTGAAAAGTGTGAAAAATAAATCAATAAGTCATGGTCAGTCTGTCAGCTAATTTTAAGACTCATTCACTCCGTTAAATTCAGTACTGTTCAGACAATTCACTTACAGTCAATTCATTACTCTTCAGTAGCTTTTCATTACCTTTTCAGACAATTCAGTATAATGTTGATGTGTTCAGATAAACAAGAACTACTTACTGAACAGCCTTAACATATGCCGATCAGATATTAATTGACTGCAAGCGAATTGTCCGAACAGTCCTGAATTTACAGCAGTGTATTAATCTGAAAGTTGGCTGTTAGACTGAACATGTTTTATGATTTATTGTTGTTTCTTTTTTAAGACCTTGTCAGATCAAAATAACCGTTGCAGATCAAATTTTGACTTACTTGATTTTGGAGACATACATATAACGATTCTATATTCCGTTGTAGGCGTCTGTGTCGGTGGCGAAAACATTTATGCACAATCTGTGGTAACAATTTCTTTTCATACAAAAGCAACTTTGTAAAACGTCTTAGAATTGAATGAAACTTTTGACAAATGTTTTTTTATTACCATAATACAATACCTAGATTACCATTTTAGAAATATTTTTCGTTTCTTAATTTTTTTCATATTTTACTGATGAATGAACTTTGAAATGTTGAAGATGAAACGAGCATCTTGCATACAAATGTTTAATCCTAGCACCTATGATAAGTTTATTTACAACCCCTTGGCCAAAAGGAATCGTTGATCATAATTGACTAATTTCGAAAAATCTACTACGGGAACTCGTTTGAAACTTAAATAGATTGATCACTGAATGACCATCTCAAACAACGTTATAACTATCCTGATTTAATGTTGATTGGTGGCAAACACGATCGCATTGTTGTCACAAAACTTCCTTAGGGAGAATTACAATAATTTCACTGTATTCACTCAATCAACATGTTAAACTACAAACTTTGCAGCAAATGCAATAAAGATGGTCTACAAATGATTTTTGGCTCTGTTGGCTTTTCAACGGTTTTTAAAATAAATACATGAAGTCAAAACAAATGGTGCTGCGTATTGGAAACTTATTATAAAATGTTATTATTAACATCATGTAGGAACAGAAGTCACCAATTTGCATATATACCAGTTCAGTGATACAGAAATTGCTTACCTTTAGTTAAACATGTTAAAAGTATATCATGAAGGATGAAAAATTTGCTTGTCATACAGTACAAACATTTGCTTGTTCTACGATATATTGCTTTTATATTATGTATTATGCGTGTGCACTTTTTTTGTCTACAATTCATTCCAACTATTTTGCAACTGCTTTTTTGCACATTTGTTGTCACTCGTTCGCTTGAGATTATTTCCTAATAAACAATGAAGATTATGTATTTGTTTCAGAAAACGGGAACAGAGGTGTCAAATTTCACGTTTCTTGTAAAAAAGAAACATGTACAAATAATCTGGAAGACATAAGGGCTAAGGCAGCAAGATATATGAGTGTTGATATACATTTTGTATCGATTCAGAGGTTGCGTGGTCACAAATAGGTTTTTGGTTACATTAATGGTTCCTGAAGTATGAGTATAGTTCCTGTTGAACGGGATTCTACAGGGAACAATCATCCTTGTCTGTTGTAATAGACTATTCATGGTGGACGACGAGACATGGTCACAAATAGGTTTTGGGTTACATTAATGGTTCCTGAAGTATGAGTAGAGTTCCTGTTGAATGGGATTCTACAGGAAACAGTCATCCCTGTCTGTTGTAATAGACTATTCATGGTGGACGACGAGACATTTTCATGGAAGAAGGTATGTACTTCAAAATGTGGCAAAGAAATGAAATATGATTTGTTTTAATTTACTGTGGATTCATTTATTTTCGTGGGTATCAATTTTCGTGGATTGAGGAAATCTTGCATTTTCGTGGATATTTAATTTCGTGGTTTTGCCAAATAAAATTGAGAATGGAAATGGGGAATATGTCAAAGATACAACAACCCGACTAAGCAGATAACAGCCGATGGCCACCAATGGGTCTTCAACGCAGCGAGAAAATCTTTCAACCGGAGGTGGTACTCAGCTGGCCCCTAAATAAAATTGTGTACTGGTTCAGTGAAAATGGACGTCACACTAAACTCCAAAACATATAAAGGAACTAAAATTAAAAAAAAACATACAAGACTAACAAAGGCCAGAGGCTCCTGACTGCGTCGGACAGGCGCAAAAATGCGGCGGGGTTTAACATGTTTTTTGAGATCTCAACCCCCCCCCCCCCCCTTATACCTCCAGCCAATGTAGAATAAAGAAACACATAGCAATACGCGCAGTAAAACTCAGTTTAAAAGAACTCCGAGTCCGATGTCAGAATAGGTAACAAAAGAAACTAAGCAAAATGACAATGATACATAAATTAACAAAGGACTACTAGCAGTTACTGACATGCCAGCTCCAGGCCTCAATTAAACTGATTGAAAGATTATGTCTACATCATATGAAAATCAGGTACAATCCCTCCCGTTAGGGGTTTAGTATCATACCATTATAAAATATATGAGAAGAACATAACCCGTATCATGCCAACAACTGGTTACAAAAGACTGCATACATACCAATGGAAAATTTGCAAATAATTGAACATTTGAATTCGTGGTTTACCAGTACCCACGAAATCCACAAAAATTGGTATTCCACGAATAATAATGAATCCACAGTAGCTGATATAATTTTTCAATTGCATTTTGTAAGATTCTGCCCAGGACATATGAAATATTTTGTGATACATTAGAACCATTTATAGATGATGTTTTGGCCACTTAAACAAGTTCTATTTAAGATCATCTTGTTAACACTTATCATGCATTCCGGAGTTACTATTTCGTACAAATTGTTCACATTTTTTTTCTTTGGCCTTTATGAATAGGTGTCTCATTGACACCATTCAATATCAATTCTCCTTATTTGTATATTCAGTCGAGTATAATTGGGATTTTTTCTATAGTCTTACTTGTAAGTTTACCATGTTTACATACACATTTAATTGCAGGATGTGAATAAAATTGATCAACTGACAACACATGTCACTGGAGTTGTTTCCCATTGACAAAACAAGTTCTTCAATTTTCTTATCTGACAATGAATATCTTTATGCTGATTCGTAACGAGATTGAACAAATTATGGAAAATAATATTAGATACTAAACTAATTTTAGGGAAAGTATGGAGTGCCAAGAGCACAATAATGAAACTTTTCAACTCAAACGTAAAATTTGTGCTTTTGTATGGAGCAGAAACATGGAGAACAACTTAAACAATGTTATCAAGACTCCAAAGGTTCATCAACTACTGCCTGAGGAGAATCATGCACATCAGATGGTTTGACAAAGTATGAAATGAAGACCTATGGAAAAGAGCTGATCAAGAACCAATTAACATCCAAATCAAGAAACGAAAATGGGTATGGATAGGCCACACACTGCGAAAAACAACAAGCAGCATTACAAGGCAGGCACTTAAATGGAACCCTCAAGGAAAAAGAAACAGAGGAAAACTAAGGAACACCTGGCGCAGGGACACATAATTTGAAATGAAGCAACAGGGATACAACTGGAACACTTTAGAGAAACAGGCGCTAAATCGAGTTAGATGGAGGGTGTTCGTGAATGGCATATGCTCCCCGGAGGAGCTAAGGGCCTAAGAAAGTACGTTAGTACTAAACAAATTAAATAACAATCCAACACCACAATAAAAGCAATCAAGAAAAGGAGTAGATATGATACCGTATCCCAGAGTAAACAACAAGAAACAAAAAGTGAAGTAAAGACACTACCCAATTTTAAAGATATGTCATTACATATGAAACTATCGTACAGGACTTAAATTTATATTGTATAAAAAGCGAACAATCAGTTGTAATTTTGCGAGAAGATAAAGTATTACGTCTCATTCATATAGAATAATGACATTTTTGTTTTTGATATTGCCTTTATCAGGAAGAATATCAATCGAGCCCGCTAGGTGTTCCAGATGAAGAAGTCAGTATCAACAAATAAACTGCCATAGTTCTTTTAACGGCAATTTGTCTTAACAATTTTTTTTCCTTGGGTTGAGAATATTACATAAAATTAAATGTGTAGTAACCTTTTTACGCGTAAAATGCGTACAAAACGATTTAATAGTTGTTCGGTTGTATAAATGCAGTCAGCTGCATTTTATTGATAAATTGACGTTGATGCAAATTCACACGTGACATTGCTTCACTGATATTTGACGTCTTTGCCTAATATTTTGAGTATTAGATCATTTTCATGATCTAAAAAATATTAGGCAGTAATTTCAAAGGTAAAATGTACAAATTGCCGATAAATCTGAATTATACTTCTAAAGATAGAAAAAAAACGAATATATAGTATAACATATGTATGCTTCTTGACACTTTTACTGCGATTGTCTATATGTGCTTGTCAGCAGACTGCACTAGGGAATATGTTCCTTGTTAGAAACGACAAAGAATGTTTTGCAAACAGAATAAAGAATAATATCAAACTTTAACTACTTGAAAACTAATTATAATATATATTATAAGATTTGTAAAATTCAAACAGATAACTGTATAACGTCATAATAACAAATATGACGTCACAAAATTCAGTATAGTATTTGTATAAAGTTTTATATTTCAGAGGGTATTAGACCTAGAGGCTTATACTTTGTATACAGATGCTTTATGTTACAAAGTTTCTGTCTGTCATATGCCCGTTGTCCTTGACCTCATATTTATGGTTCGATGACTGCTTGAAAAAAAGTTTTTGTTTTGTTTTGTCAATTGCTCACTTATTATGAGTAATAGGATAACTATATTTGGTATATGGGTTCCTTGCAAGGTCTTTATGTTTGTCAGACAGAGTTCATCTGACCTAGACCTCATTTCATGGATCAGTATTAGTGACCAAGGTTATATTTAAAGTTACATGATTAAGTCTGTTTCTCAGATACTGTAAGCAGTAAGCCAACCATATTTCATATATGGGATGATTGCAAGGTGTAAATGTCACTGGCAGGTATCATCTGTCCTTGACCTCATTCTCATGGTTCATTGGTCGATGTTAAGTTTTAGTTGTAAGATCCCTTTCTAAGATACTATAAGCAATAGGTCAACTATATTTGGTGTATGGAATGATTGTAAAGTTTTACATGTCTGTCGGACAGGGTTCATCTGACTGTGACCTCATTTCCATGGTTCATTGGTCAATGTTAGGTTTACCTGGAGAGTCTGTTTCTCAGATACATTGTACTATAAGCAATAAGGTCAACTATATATATTTGATGTATTGAATGTTTGTAAGGTGTACATGTCTGTCTGGCAGGTATCATCTGACCTTTGACCTTTTTAATATGGTTCATTGGTCAATATTAAGTTTCATGGTTTGGTCTGTTTCTTATATAATATAAGCAGTAGGTCAACCATATTTGGTGTAATATGTAGAGTAAGGTGTACATGTCTATCTGGCTCGGTTCATCTGACATTGACCTTATTTTCCTGGATCATTGATAATGCTAAGTTTATGTGATACTTGTAATACAGTTATAAAATGAATAGTGAATATTAAAGCAGGCGAGACATGACAGCGTGTGCACTCTTGTTCTATAATGATTATCTTTGTAGGGTAGCAAGTTACCGACTATTTTGTATTTGCAAGCAGATAATTGTTGGCTGGAAAATAAAAGTCCATATGCACAGGCTTTTTTGTGAACTCCTTGTTCACCAATACGTTTAAATTAGGTAAGTTGCAATTTCAAATATATTGTGAATCTTGTAATTTTACAGGAGGTAGGTTCAGGCCGGTGGTATTAGGGAGTGCTCCCTTTAAATCCGGAAAACATGGCCAAATTAATAAGTCAGCCCACTTACCTCAAATCCTGGATCTGCTTCATGATTTGTAACTGGGATTTTAAAACATGAACATAAATCATCACCTAAAAGTTTAATTAGAATATGTCTAAACATTTCGCGTGTAATAAATGTAATCTGATGCTTTATTGAAAATAAAGTGTATAGCTTTATTGAAAATAAAGTATATAATGCATTTTTCATGATAGAGAGGCAGACCATACTAATTTAAATACAGACGTGGCGTTTGGTTTAAAAAACTGTATTTACATATATCTTACCAGAAGATGAACATATACAAACGTATGACCCATTGGCATTGACATACGAATTACTGCCTATCGATATATTACATCTGTGAAATTGCACCTCATTGATATATTGTAATGCTTAAAATTTATCCCCACCAATGGTACGTCTGTAAAGAGCTTCCTTAAGTTTTTGGTTTAATTTAGATTTTTGAGGATAATTTTTGGTTATGATGGCAGTAATATGCATATAGATTTTTGTTAGAAAACAATTTCTTAGTGATATGTTTAATGAATAGATACTGTTCATATCTGAATAAGTCAGGTAGTTTACTTTTTTTTTTGGCATACAGTTTAGTGTCTTTCAATAAGATTGTTATTGTCAACCCTTATTATATAATGAATGTATATTTCAGTTAGATGAACCTTAATTGAAACAGTTTAGCACTTTACACATTAAGAATTCAGTTCCGTCACACTTTAAAGGTCATGTATTTAAGTAACCAACTATCGTAATGTTTCGAACAACAAATGAAATAGTTTTACTTCTTTTTAGGTGCATTTATCATTTTGACGAGTTGAACATACACACGAAGATGTGGCTGCTACTTTAACATGTTTAGGCCGAGTATTATAGCTGAAACTCTTCGTAGGAATGATTTTGAAACTATGCCTCGTCTGAAGGAAATGCTTCCGAACTTTAAGGATTTTGAAGCAATTTTTGACATTCATTCATGGATTATATGAAGCCTTTATGCCATTCGAAAGCATACTAAACCTCTGAATTATATGTGTATGCGGGATTTAGCTACAAATACTGTGAAAAAGCAATATAAAGCTTTTTAAGACGGCGAATGGAAAACAGAACATAGAATAATTCAATTACTAGTAATTTCAGGAAGACTAAATTTACCAACGGGAATACCAAGAGGAACCAATCCTTAGTTTGAGAAGATAGATTAAAATCTAGAATACCACAGTGGCAAGATTTATTCACTGATCAAATAGATCATCAAAGGGAACAGGGGTGGGCGGATTTACCATACAGATGAACAAAAGTTATATCAAAGGCAAAATTGAATCTTCCGTTGTTACCCAAACAGCAATTGGAAAAAGAAAGGCCCTCGAGTGATCAAGACATTGCAGCAGAGATAAGGAAACTATTGGAAAATCAGAAGGAGAGAGAGATGAATTTTCTGTAAGTCTGAAAAAATAAGAATAAGATTGTTTCATTGTATGATCAAATAAAATGGCACAGATTTGTAACAATTTTCCTTGAATTGTATAATATTAGGTTATTTTTATATGGTTACAATTTGTTTTATCTGCATAGATGCTCATGTACGCTTTCAAAATATGAAGCTATGGATTTGGCTTAAAGTCGCTTTTTACTCCTATTACGTAGAAGATTCGACATAAATAGATGTTGTTTTTTTTTTGTACTGTTTAGTTCATATGTATTGAAGGTTCCACGTTTCTCTTATCGCTTATGAATCAACTTTCATTTTATAGAATTTAAAAAGAAAAAAGACCGACGACTAGAATATGAACTAATTTTGAAGGCCGTACTTTGACCTATAATGGTTTATTTTTACAAATTGTGACTTGGATGGAGAGTTGTCTCATTGGCACTCATACCACATCTTCTTATATCTAAATAAATAATGCTTAAAGTTGATATGCTAAGTTCGGTTTTATCAAATGGAAAAGATAGAATATGGTTTATCAATATAGGACACAGCATCACTGCACATACAGGAAAGCAAAAAATCGAAGGAAACTCACTTTCATTGTAGTTCCTCATTCGAAAGTGACAGTGACCCTTTACAACTTCAGAACTGTTCTCACACATTATAACACTTGTTTGAGTAGACATCATAGCAATGTCAAGATGTCGACCGCATGTTCTTTTTTCCTGTTTTATACTCATTCAAAGACATGAATTATGAGATCACTAATTTAAAAATCTTCATTCAAATTTATTCAGAAACGCTACCTGTTCAACCATACTTTGAATATATTAGATCATACATTCCAGGTGCAAGTGAGGCCAAAACAATCAAAACGGACATACAAAGGGAACAGAAAGACACAGAAGGTAATACATTATCGAAATTTGAAATAGTTTTTATTATCTATGAAATATTTATGTATATTGATATCTTCCTTTATAATTTAGATGAAATAAAATAAACAAGCATCAATGCAAATTATGTTGATATCGTGTATTCTATTACAGAGAAAACAGGTCAAGAAAAGAAAACGAAGAGGAATATCAAGGAAACTGCCAGACAAATCTACTCTTCATATATTTATTTCATTTAAACTAGAATTAACTACGAAAAACATAGATTATATATAGCGATATATTTTCTGTTTGAATAATTATTCGTGTATTGTTTAATTAACGAATATTTGCATTTAGTTGGGTTTTATTTTTATCTCAAAATATTTTTAAATTTTTTGGAAAGAATTGTTAGATCACATAAAAATCCTTCTATTTCAAACCATCTTTAATATGTATTATTTAAGCACATGAGACAGTTGTCGGTACTCTTTAACCACTCCAAACCTATTTGAAATGTTCTATTGTTTAATATAACCCAAAGTTATTCTCCAAATAATCCAAATAGTTAATTGTTGATAACATATAAGAGACCCGAACTGATTTGAAACTAAATTTAAATCCAAGATGTTTCTTTTTGTCGACTTTGTTTTTGCTTTTTACACTTCTCTGATGGTCTACTTTTGATATTTTTCGTTGTGATACTGATAAAACAAGAGTCAATACTAAGAACTCATTTAAGAAAACACAGCAAGACCCTTTTCTCTTCTGGTTTAAAGACCAGTTTATACACTGAGTTTTAAACAGGACAATTTTTGTTTCCTTGTTTGATTATTTTTTTTATGTGAATAAGAAAATATATTAATATTTGGTCTAGACCAGAATAATATAAATGTGAAACGTCTGTAGACTTTCATTTTGGTCGGAAGATCACGTTACATTTTTTGCTTTTTATTAAGACTCTGTTTATGGTTTTTATACGCCCGTTTACGGGACATATTATGGTATACCGTTGTCCATCCGCCCGTCTGTCCGTCCGTCGTCAACATGTCGGACATTAACTCAAAAACGCTTTAACTAATTTGCATGAAACTTTGGTGAATTGTTTATATCTATTGACGTGAGCGTCCTTTCGATTTTTATAAATTTTAGATTTTATGTTTCCGAGTTATGGGGTTATATTCATTAAAAAAGGGGGATTTTCCAGTTTTCGGACATTAGCTCAAAAGTTTACTGAGCAGTTTTCATGAAACTTTGGTGACTGTTTTATATCTATTAATCTATTAAAATAACCTCCGTTAAGTTTTTTTTTTATAAATTTCTGATATGACATTGAGGAGTTATGGAACTTTATTCTTTGAAAAAGCGACGGGTGTATCATGCGCTCATGGCGCAGCTCTTTATTAAAACTGTGTTTTAGGTAACTTACCCAGTCTTGGTCTAACGACCAGATTATTAATGTAGCTCTATAGAGCAAGTATGAAAAACATAACAATTAAGTTTGCAATGAAGTATTTACAAAAGCATTTAGTGTATTATATTGCTTGAAAATTGGTTTAAAGACCTTATAAAATCAATGTTTTACCTCTCAGACTATATTATAATTTAGTGAAATGAAGTGGTTAACAAATGTCGAAAGAGAAAAGAATGGATTTTCCCTTTCGAAAATGGAATTACTTTTTAAAGTGTAAACAAACTTTGAGACAGACATACCAGGCAGGAGCCAGCAATTCAGTAGTTGTCATAGGTCGCTGTCAATCATATGTGTTTTTTATTTTTTGTTTTGTACATAAATTTGACCGTTGGTTTTCTCGTTTGAATTTTGATATTTTTTTGTCATGTTTGGGCACTTTATGGTATGGGTTCTGATCATTGTTGAAAGTCATACATTGATCTATAGTTGTTAACATCTACGTCATTTAGTCTGTGGTTGTTACATGTCTCATTGCCATTCATACTGCATATATTCTGATTAGTATATACAAGTATATATATGATACGGGTAAAACATAAAAATTTAATGGGATTTTTTTAAGAAAATGACCAATAACTCTAAAATTGCAAATGAAATAAAACAAATGATAAAATTAACATGTTATTTCTTTTTTATACTAAATCATGACCAATGCATTTGTAATGACCTATACGTTATTTTAACGAGAATTTTTGATAAATTTACGAACACAAAAATGTTCAAATTTTTTTTAGCTTCTAATAGATATAAACAACATTTTTTATTCCACTTAAATCTTCAAACATGGTAAAAAAGAGAGGAAATACGGAGTGAGCAATCGAAAATCATAAGCTAAAAAAACCAAGATAAACCATGACTAAAAGAAAAAACAGATAAAAAGACAAACAACAATTACTAAACTTTACACAGAAAACTCAAAATTGAACATTACAATCTCCTCCAAAAACCGTAAACGAACACAGGTGCCCTGGAGAGACAAGCAGCTGTTCCTGCTCAACCAATGGCGTGTTCCTCATGTGAGTACAAAACCGGTGATAATTCGCGTTAGAGGCACAATTGAAGGAAAGATGACGGGATTATGAATACGACAAGTGGAATATAACCGTGGTCTTCTGTGGCACAAATATTCCATAATGGTCACCAAAATCGTGATGGTGTTTGTGAAACGTTTGAAGGATGACATCATTACCAGTTGGAGCCCTTGATGTTATATCTTCCTTATTAACAATAACCCTCTACCAAGAACAATATCTCATGATACCACAATATATCAACACCGCATTCAAGAACAATGTCACGTGGAACAACTGCATATTTACACTTCATTCATTAACTATGTCATGTTACATAATCTTTTTCACTTAATTATAATACAGTAGAAGAAACAAGTGCAGTGATACTCAAGATTAATGCTCTGTTGATATACATGTATCGTGATAGGACTAGAAAAAGATCGAATAATTATTTCGATTTCCACTACTTAAGTACAATGAAACCGGAAAATTAAACGTTCAATCAAAAAGTTGTACAATGCACCTCTCGTATTGCTCATGTAAAAACGGGCTCGAATAATCAAATAATTTTACACTAAGCACAAAAATAAATATCAAAAAGACAAAAAATGAAAAAATCCAATCTAAAAATACTATTAGTACTAGAAGTTACGGAAAGCTAGTTGAAACCAAAATTTCAACTGATAAATAAAGTATATGTTTTTTTCTCAAACTAGAATATCGATCAATACATCACCAGCGGATTTAGTGTAACGACGTGAAGTGCAATTAATCTGAGAACGCAGTACATTGTTCAATGGCAAAATATAAGCATCAACGGGACGTAGGATCATAATTGTTAATTACTAGATAATATACCTATTTTCAAATTATCAAAAATAAAACCAGTTCAAAAGATAAAATCAACAGCTTGCATTATGCATTCACCAAAATACAAAAACTATTAACACAGCTGACAGCAACCAATGAAAACTATTATATTACTACCAATGAAGACAATATTCAAGTATTTAACTATAAAATGTTTAATTGATGACATTTCAGAAAAAAAAAATAATTAAAATTTCAAATGATAACTTTCTATCTTTACTAAATGAAAGTGCGACAAAGTTATTGATGTCAAGACACTTAATAACAGACTCTATCTAATTGTTAAATGCAGAAAAAATACGTTCATATATAACATTTGTATAAGTAAAATATGGAAAAAAAAGATATACAATCAAAATGTTACTCCAGGAGCTTTCTCTTGATAACCAAGAAGCTTCTGTCAAAGTTTCGTAAAATTCTATAAATCTTTAACATAATTGTTAATGTCTAAAAACCTTTGAACACAGGCTAACTCTTGATGTTGACGACAGGAAGACAATACGACAAAAACGAACAACAACGAAATCAAGAATATCTATACATTTTAATTTTATTTCCTGCTGATCGACGCTCAAAAGTAATCTATGCGATGTGAAATTGTTAAATGAGTTTATTGGAGTATTTTGTGTATCCTTTATAAACAATAAAAATCTGGCCTGATATGTATAAAACCACTTATTAAATAAGTTAAGATATCCAATCGTAGTACTTATTTATCGTACATGTAATTTATCGTGTAGGACATGTAGAAAAATCCGTCCGTTCGGAACAACTCTTATCGTAAGTAGTTTTATAGATATCAGCCCAGGCTCTCAGAGTATATAGAAAATACGTGTTTACATTGTTCATCGTTTGAGGTAGTAAATACAATAGCTTAGATCAGGGTTATATGTCAGTGAGACTGATATTTTTCAAGTTAAGACATTAAATAACACAAGGACGTCATAAATAAGACAAAGACGTTTATTGCAATACGCACAGTTATCATATATAATATCAACCCGAAATTCATAATATATTATAAGATATTATTAGTTATATTTCAGAGCAGAGAGCATAGTATACAATATGAAAGAAGACAGTATTTAAAACTATGTTAACTTGATATGAGCATTTTCAGTTTCCAACTTTCACGTTAAACACACATCAAATTGTAAATGGCTGATTTTGTTTTAACTTATTAGTAAAGAATGCAGTTTGTTAATATTTGGCCATCTATAATAATATCTTGAAAAGTATTTAAGTCTATTTATATGTGAAATTATATATCGTCCTAAGTCTAGACCAGCTGTGAAAACTTTGAAGAGAGACTAGAAAAAATTATACTATCAACATCAATTCCCTGAGAGTCTGCATGTTTGTTTTTTCTCTATTCTCCATTATTCCCTATTCTTTTAAATTTTTTTGCCTGCTTTTCTCTATTCTTTATTTCTTATCCCTTTATTCTGCACTATTTGCCCATTATTCTCTATTACTTATGGCAAATATATTAAATTGTATGTATATTATATTATTTAAACATATTATATTGACAAAGTATTTGGTTTGTTCTATGTCTTAATTCCTTGATATCCATAATGAAAGTGTCTTCAACAATGCTCGGAATTTGTTTAAATATTACATTCACAACACTAAGGTTATCAAACTTTCCATGTTTACATAGCATCATTATTTTATGTCATGATACAATAAAATTTTCATTAGAGTTTTGTAGATTCCAATACATCATGAACATAACTTTTGTTGTCATAAGATGAATCTGTCCGACTTTCGAAATTTGCCATGACAGGAGGATCTGAATATGGCTGATATATATTTGTCTTGTTTACTTCATTCGTGTCTTTTCTAACAAACTTGTATCCATCATTTTCCAAGACAGTAGATGCCACTGGAGACTGATAAAAGGAAGTCAAATCTTTGGAATATATACCAGTCCTGTTTTCTTCAAATGCAGGGCCCCAGTTTGCCTTTGGATGACAAAGCTACAAACATAAAGGAATGAGACTGTTAAACTATTTTAGAGAAAATTCTACAGTTACGCATGTTTAAACTTATGATCAACGTGATATGCGTTTCTGTAAGGCACCGACCATTCATCTGCTTTCATGTTTTTTTTCTTCTTCCGGGAACTACATTTTTCGATTTAAACGAAAAAACAAACGGATGTCTTTAATATAATACAGGCACAAATATTTCTTCTTTGAAACTGAATTTAAACTTTTTATTTTCCCCCTAACTTTCAGTGGAAATAAACTATTTTATTAACTTCCCTTCTTAAACAAATTATTTTTTTTCAGCACATTTAGAATTAAACCGCATATCCCCCCCTTTTCCACTTTCCACATAAGTTGAAAAATCGTCGGCTCCTAGTCTTTATGCAGGTTTTTGGTTTCAGTTTTGAACTGTTGAATATGTATGTACGTTTAGGATGTATTACTGATAAAGGCTCAAATATCTGTCGTGGTTTATGGAAAAGCATGTTTTAAGCAAAAGACGTTTGTCATAATATGAGAATGATTTAACAAGAATAAATACATCGGTATGTTGATCTTAAATTTGCCTTAAAATATCATGTGATTCAATAAGTCTCATTCTTTCATTCACACTGCTTTGACCTACAACCATTTTGATTCATGGTTGGTTATAGCTAAGTAACATTATATAGCTATTTTATAATAAATTTTATAGAGATGATACAAGGTGTTCTGCATAAGTCGACACTACAAGCTAATAGGTGCGGTGCCATAGGATTCATATAATCGTTTTTTTTTATAAATTAACTCATTCATTCTCTTGTATGATGGAAGGATGGCGGGCTTTTTGATGTCCAATGGCAAATTAAATGTATATTGAGGACGAGAACATGATAATAATAATATGACATGGATGGATTTAAACCCTGCTTTGGATTAGACATGCTGAGTCGGAATTGTCTAACCTGTTTGTTCACAAGATAACAGTCTGCAGGAAGATATGCCACCCTACCCGGATAATTATTCTGAGCCCGAGCTCTTACTCCTAAATGCCGAGAAGCAGCAAATATCAATTTTCAAGTTTTTGGTTTGATTCAACCGGGTTCGAACTACGACCTCCCGCACATGAGGCGAACACGCTCTTGCAGGTAAGAGTACTACATGTATATGAATTATACAGTAAAAAAGACAAACCATACTTACATTTCTTTTATCTCTGCAAGCACAGTAGTACAATATCCATGCTGGAATGAATACAATAGGGAAGGCAACAATTAACCAGCTCAGAGCTGTTGCCCAATCAGGATAAACATAGTCATCTAATGTGTACGGCTTCCATTGTAATGCTTTCAATACAATCACAACCTAGAAAAGTTAACACTATCCATGTTGGAACGAATACAATAGGGAAGGCAACAATCAAGCAGCTCAAGGCTGTTACTCAATCTGGATACACAGAGTCATCTATTGTGAAAATAGGTAACCATTTTGAATTAGTACAAAGCATGTGTGAAACATTATACATTATAAGTCTTCGTGTGTTTTTTCTTTTTATATTGACATTTCAGTAATTTGTATGTATTTTGGTAATGTATTTATTTGTAAGTTGGATATACATTTCGTTATAGTTCAAGTCAATCATGTTACATTCGTAGCAAAATGTGAAGCGAAAACTACTTTTAGTCATTGCCAACAGTACATTTTGTTTAATAGCAGCACTTGTTGATAACCTCTCATGAAGAGTAGTAATAATCGCATCTGTCATGTCAACCAGTTGCACAAGTGGAGAAAAAAAACTATACACTTATATTGCTCTCATATGAAAACGTATGTATCGTCACGTGATAAAATGATGAATATTGTTAAGTTTTCTTTGTTGTCTTTTCGACGTTTTTCGTTCCTTTTTTTTTGCAATGGCTTTGTCGGTTTGTTTTCAACTTACGAGTTTGAATACCCTTTTGGTATATTTTGCTTCGCTTGTACATTCTTCCTTTTTATAAATAACAAAATTCAACTTTTTTATATTAAAATGCATGCAGATTTTCGTTTGTGTCATTGAGTTACTGGCTTATTGACGTGTACTCTACAAATCTACAAATTCATTAATCATACTGTAAGCATAATAAAAAAAAACGTAATGGTATCATACTGTTTAAGAAAACATTATTTTTTTCGATGACAAAACATGCATTTTTGAGTCAAGCAAGATGCATTTAAAAATAAAGTTTGTTCTGCATTTGTATACTTACCAACAAAGCAATAGGTGCTATGAAGCACCAGGTGGGAGCGAAATAAAAGAAACCTATGGTGACTGGTATCCCTCTACCAAGCATCATTTCTATATCAGACTTCAGCCGCAGGTAACCTGCAATATTGGGAAGCATAAATATGTAATTAGTAACTTCACTTTAAAGGCAGGCGGATACGATTATTCACAGTTTATTCAAGAGCACAATAGATTAACAAAACAGAATAAATAGAAAACAATCTAAATCAATATGAACAGAAAAGCAGGTTTTCAGTATAATTGAATTTTGATTCTTCAATGCCCTATATTGTTTAACGCCTCAAGTATTTGTGTTTCTACTTTCATTTATGATATTAAAGAATACACTATAGGTATAAATATACTTAGCAGATGCCTTTCGTCGTTCAAAGGCTATATTAAGGTTGTATTTTTTTCACGTGAAGTGTCGTCGTCATAAATTTTGTTTGAATGTGAAAGAAAAATCCAAAAGAAAGACGGTAAGCCTTACGTTTTTAAGAAGCTACTATGTATACTGACCTGATTTTTTATAATTGTTATCGTTTTGACTTTCAATTTTTTTAACTAAATTTAGAAATTTCCTTAGACGAAAGGATATTATCAGATGGCTTTAGCTGTATATTATTTTTCTACTACTTTTGGTTGTTTAGGAAAATAGGAACTATGTTTCTAACTGTTATTGAATGGATTTTTATTGTTTTAACTAAATTTATAAATTTTGTTGAACGAAAAGGATTTCAGATGGTTTTTGCTCTATATCATTTTTCGGCCACTTTTGGTTGTTTAAGAAAATAGGAACGGCATTTATTGTCAAGCGGCAAATGTAACGTTGAATGGATAGTCATTCAAACTTCGTATTTGTGGGCTAGCGTTAGCGTCATATGTAGAACAATGTTTATCGGTACTGTTATTTTAATTATTGTTTTACCGTCAATCGCCATGGTACAAAATTTGCACCTTCATATAGCCCCAATGTATTATCCATACGTGCGTGCCTTTTAAAATGCTCGACTCTTAGCTATAGCATTCCTAATTAAGGCAAATTTGTAAAACATTTTTGATGCGCATCGCTCGCAGAAACAGTGATACACTTTGTTTTCTTCAGATTTACATGCGTAGATAAAACATATAAAAGTAAGTATACCTCTGAATATAATCTTTGGAAATGTCTTTGTGTCAAGGGTTCTGTTCGAGATACCATAGATGTAAATTATGACCAAAAGTTCCACAAACCCTACCACCAACAAAGGGAAACCTCCGACTGATTTGTCTAATAGATTCAATATGTACATTCCTCCCTAAAATATACAATGTGTTTTGTGTGTACATGCCAAACTGAAAGATACCATTACTAGTATGAATCGATTCTATCTGGAGCAAAAGAGCAATACAACCATAATAACTAGTTTTTTTTTTTCTTCGGAAAACTTAGTCGAACAACTTTAGAATTGTTTGTTTAACTGAATTATTTCAATCATCATACTTGTTTTAGTTTTTGTCAAAATAGGTAACAGCAGAAGAGGCAATTCCCTTTTTTAACGGTTCCTTATAAATATTAATACAGGATTTATACTCGTCCTATAGATGTCTACTTGTGTTTTTGTCTTTATATTGCCTTCTCATTGGCGTATAGGAACAAGAATTCGAATACAAATAATTCTTTTTTTTTTTTTTTAATAATTTCTATAGAAAAAAACTATTTTTTTTTATCTACATGTTATACCTACTGTAACAATATTTTGTTCTCCAGGAAATTAAAGAGCATACATTTCTTTAAAAACAAAACGGTCCCCAACTTCACACACACACTTATTCCTTTTTTTCTTCTTTTTAAACCCCAAAATGAAGACCGCGGTAAAGAAACAGTAAAATAGAACGCTCTGTTGATATAGAGCCAACAAGTCTAAAGAAAATGGCAATACGATATGTTTTATGTACTATGTAACAAAACTCACGTTTTACTCTTGTTGTAATATACTTGCACTTCCCAATGAGAGGCTTTACAAGGACAATAATATTTGTTATGCATATTTGAGCTAAAGTCAATGACAGCACTTACGTGTAGCATATTTATAGTCTGTATTTTTTTTCCGTTTTCACAATTATTAAATATAATTGCGAGTGAAATTCAATTTATTCAATCAATCGTGTAACATTGACTACCAAATTATTAAACTAGTCAATGAATCATTTTTAGGAACGCTAAGTTTATGGCACATTAAAGGGTCATACCATATGCAATTTACAGCAAAGATATCTTTTCAACATTCATCGTATTAATAACCCGGATCACACGCGTATGGTCGAACCATATGAGTATAATTTTATACGCATATGGCCATGAGTCATGACCATACGCGCCGTATGGTCCAAATACTCATATGGTCCGGAACATAAATATATCAGTTACCTCACTTACATAATTTACGCAGTTGTTTGAAATGAATTTAGTACACAGACACTTGTAAAATGAATTTAAGTTTGAAACGGCTGTGTTGATCATAACATCAATCTTAATAAACTATATAGTTCTCTGATTTTGTTATCCTTATATGTACGAGCACTCGATTTAGTATAGATATGCATTTGCGATTCATTTGCCCGCAATCAATATAGAACTGTTTAGTTACTTTTTGCTATTTTCAGACAATTCAGCATGTATTTTGAGAAGATAAAAATAGCTATTAAAATTACTTTAAAATAACAGATCCCAATTAACTCAAAGAAAGGTTTCTGAACAGTACTAAATTTTGTAAAACGGAAATATTGTAAATTTGACTGAAAGACTTAACATAACAAGAAAGTTATTAAGTTGTTTAAGACTTTTAAAATAAGTTCACATTAAAGTGGCCTCTTAGTTCCAAATATATTTTTCAAAGTTCACATTAAAATGGCCGTTACAGTTCAAGCGTATTTAATGATGAAGTTGTTATTATTAAAGGTATACCAAAAAAGCATGGTTTTATCAACAGCGAAATACTTTTCAGTTTGTGTTCGGTAATTCCGAGAAATCCTAAATTGTACATAGAATTGGTACCTACATGACATAGAATATTATGTCCAGTTCAGTTATTTTTCTGAGATTAGATGACTTGTGTACTAGTATTTGTTTTTTGCATTGTTATGGAAATTCGTTGTTCTCCAACTGGTTATTTAACACCGCTTCATGTAAAAAAAATGTCTAGTGTATTATGATGCGTCAAGGTCTGTTCTCATATCCTATAAGTGTCGATGTTTATTTTCCTTCTGTTTCGATCTTTTTTATTTTGCTCACTTTTGTAAGAAGTGTAATTGACAGATTTATGTCATCTTGATTAAATTCATTCACAATCTATCTAGTAACGCATGAGGGTCTGGATGGTGGGTTCTTTATTTCTGTATTTTTAATTTTTCTCTACTCTTTATAAATCTTGCCTAATATTCTCTTTTCTTTATATTTCAGCACCCCATAATTCTCTACAATTCGTTATTTTTTATGCCTATTTTTTCTCTATTCCTTCATTTTGTGGCCCTTTATTCTGCATATTTTGCCTATTATTCCCTATTATGTAAACCCCATCCACACCCTCACCCATGGATTTTATTTTTTCAATATAGTTTCTGCGTGTTTCCATCCTGTTAAACTGGATATTGTGTCCTTTAGTGAATATGGTTGGTATACGCCAATAAAGCAACATCCCAACAAAACAAAATAATTCGACAATAGACAAGTCTCTGATTTTGGAAGAATACTATTACTAGCTGTTTGTTTGCTTTAATTAAATGTAATTAGTGTGGTAAATACCTTTGTAGTCATTGGTAGTCCAAGGAGAAAAAATATGGCGCAAATGCAAAATCTAAATATATAAAGTCTACGACTTGATTTTTCTACAAAATCTCCCATTTGGTCCACAAGGCCGGTAATTACTGTCTCTGTTATCGAAAACTGAAAGATAAGTAAGAAGGTTAATATTCATATATATATATATATATGATTATTACTCAAATGAATATATTGTAGGTATAAAACAAGAATATCAGTAAACATTCCTTTTAAGTGCCAGTCTTTGTAAGAATCAGGCAATTTTTTGAAAAAAATCAAAACATGGCCGAAAAAAACAACAACACCCTAACCACCCTATTTTGAAGGTACCCTCATCCTGAGTTAGAAATGTAGGTCTTTTGTTTATGCGTGTCTGGTAATTCAAGAAGTATCTAGATAAATTTTGGTTAGAATGATAGCAAATTACGGAGTTATCTTCCCTTAATTATTAATTTCTAGTGCATTTCAACCAAATTATATCATTAATTACCAGACAGGCAAAGCAAACGAATGTTATATTCATGCACCATTATACATTCTGAATTTAAATTAATGTCAACTTGAGTGGGTTTTTGTTTGTCATGTTTTCACCACTGCCTGATTCTTAGGCAGATTGGCACTTAATTAGATATGAAATTGTTTATTACTTCAATAAATTCATATTTTTAACTTTATTATCATGTTCTAGATTGTTTTTGAAGTAAAGAAGATTAATTTTGCAGGTTAGATCTAATTTGAAGAATAGAAACAGAAAATATAGGATTTTCGCTATTGCCCGCTATTAAAGGAAACATAAACATTTCATGGAAGAGTTTGTATGTGTTCAGTTCAAATTTAAAACTACATGTATGGGCATATTTTTCTTTAAGTCAGTTAACTTGCTTACCAGGGAACTGAATCCAAGCGTCATCATCATTATGAAGAACAGTACAGCCCATAGAGGTGATATCGGCATTTGTGCCAGGGCTTCAGGATACACCACAAACGCTAAACCCGGGCCTATAATACATATGTTAGCAAAGATATCAATAAAATGTATTTGTCACAATTTAAAAGATATAACAGTATACGAGATATTGTCCTACAATTAAAAATCAAAATCACAAAAAACATTTAACGAGCAATGTTCCACAAGGATCCATATATTCTCCTCTCGTGCACCATATATGGATTCCAAGCCGCAGTACATTCTTTAATGTCTGTTTTCAGAAATAAAATGCTCTGCGATAATTCAATGCCAGAATTGTGTTTTAACATTGACTAGTATATCAACTCTGGAGGTATGTGTACTACCTACCGACAGGTCACCAGAGTTTGAAAAAGAACAAAACTTCTATAAATATACGTTAACTTGAGTTTTTTTCTCATTTAACTATAATTTGTCACAACATTTATTGTTAAAAGTCAAGCAACTGGGGTTTGTAACATTCAAACTGCCTCAGTGGTCTCGTGGTAGCGTGTTCGCATCGAGTGCTGGAAGTCGTGGGTTCGAATCCCTGCTGTGTCAAACCAAAGACTTTAATATTGGTATTTGCTGCTTCTCCGCTAAGCACGTGGTATTAGGGAGTAAGTGCAAAGACTTGTCGGCTCGGAGTCAGAATAATGTGTCCGGGTTAGGTGACATGTTAAAAATCTGGCACAGCGTGTCGGTCTAGTACAGTGCAGGGTTAATATTCATATTACATTAACATGTTCTCGTCCTGTATATGCATATTAATTTGCCACTGGACGTTAAGCAGCCATCCATTCATCCATCAATACGCCTGGTTGCTGCAGTAAAATAGAATACATACATGTAACTGGAACTTCAATTTTGATTTGAAATGTAAGTCTCAACGCGTATACTTCGTCGGTTTTTTTACAAGGATAAGTATCTATGCATATAAGAATTTAGTTTTTTTTAACACAACATACCTTCATCTACAACCTGATCCACTGACGTGTTTTTCTTATGAGCCATAAAACCAAGGACAGAGAAGATGACGAAGCCTGCATAAAAACTTGTCAGACAGTTTATTACTGGAATCAAAAGGGAATCCCTAAAATTGATTATAAGACTATTATGAGACTTTACGGACAATTCATCAATACATTACATTCAAATAAGAATAAAAACATATAAAGAACTGCTTAATATACTCATACAAAAGAATATCATTTAAGATAATTGCAAAAGTGATTCTAAAATTTATTTTCCAGTATACAAGTAAGTGAACCAATGGTATAATTCCCTAAAGATACATCTCGAAGCAATACCATCCTCCAATATGATAGTTTATATATAATGCTATTTAATATGAAAAAGTGTTCATGATGTACCTATTCAGTCGATACTATTTTCACTAAATGGTACTTCTCTAAAACACTTCCATGCAGTTTCCCTTGAAACACCGTTCTTAACAACAATATACAGTTTTTTTTTCAAAATTAACATTCACGCTGTTTTAAAATTTTGAGTTTTTTCGTTGTGAATCATTCACACTGACATGTTGATATACCTGTGAATCTTAAATATCATATGAAAAAATAATAACATTTCCTGACGTTGAATAAAAATTAATTGCATATCATAGGTTATAAATGAAATAAACACTTTATACATTCCGTGTGTCCGAGACGCTTTTCCGGATTTACCTTCGTCATGAACGCTCAATATTTGAAAGCCAGGGATGCGTAAATACGCTGAAACGTTAAGAGCTATTTTACCAAAAAGGATATAAATTGAGTTGTCAAATTAATCTAAGGTCAACTTTGCCTGAGGGAGTTTGCCCCTTAGTTTTTTAATAATTTATTGATCTGTGAACGGGGAATTTTAAAATACTATATTTTATAAATCTTGGAAGTACCAATATACTGATTACTGAGCTAATGATAATGTGCGCAATGTCTGATGCTATCTATACAAGTACATGTCGCCGATTATCAGTCATACATGTACCTAAGCGTGTTGTTTTTGAACTGGTTGTAACTTGCCATAGCAATCAATCCTCCCTGACATGTACCAAGGGAGTAAAATATCTGTACTGCGGCATCACTCCATACCTGCAGGTAAAAAATATGCAAGTGTAAGTTGTCCTGGAAGTGATAAATGGGGTTGCTGTTTGGATTCAAAATTGGGTGATTTATCGGAATACGTAGTACAAAACAAGTGAAGTAATGGAACAATAGGTATGATATTCAAACTGAAAATTATGCTTACCAAAACAAAAATAGCTTTTTCCAATGAAATGATTATGAAACCCATAAGTTTTGTCCAAAGCATTTATATAAATAAAGAGATTGAAAGGAAATACTTTCAGTCTGTCATTTACATCCAATGTTGATTATTACATATCGATTTGTTGTTGTTTTCTTAACGTCCAGTGGCAAATATTTCATGCATGCTCAGGATGAGATCAAATTAACAATAAATGCAATCGGTTGATCCTGTAATAAGTGTCTACTCGAATCAAGGACGGGAAATTAGGACTGTCACTGGAAATTGAGGATATATCGGATAGGGACAGAAATTTAGACATACGGACCCCTCAAAGAGTTACAGTCGTAAGTGTTCTTAACGTGCAGCGAGCGTGACACTCTCTCTACACAAGACATCGGATTTAACATGCATATTCTGACCGAATGTGGCTGCTTATTTATACATACCGAACAACCAAACAGACGCCCCACTTAGCAAGGGTTTTAATGCCGGTAGGAAGAAGACTAAAAGTGGCCATATTTGTATTCCCGAGTCAACCTTGGGGTATAACATAGCGATAATATATCATTTTGCAATAATACCGGTATCAGATCATATGAGCCGAAAATCTAAATGGATGTAATGTACAAAGTTACGCACACTCGCTTCCGACAGTTTACTCCAATCAGGGGTCAAATAGAAATTAATTCCTTCCATATGACCTTCCAGAAGTAGTCCTCTAATAAGTAGGGCTGTCAATAATATATAAGGAAATATAGCTGAGAAATATACAACCTAAAGAGAAATAAAAAAAATAAAATTACACGAATAAATGTTTCAAGTTTGAATTTGTCAAAATTGCTTTGCTTGCAGTGTCTGACGAAACATCACATACTAGTACACGATGATTCGTAAGTCTTAATTAATATTCTAGGGCAAAATAAAAATACAAATTTAACCATGTTTGTAAAATCATCATGGCAACAATTCAAAGTGACAGTCACAATTTTCTACACACAATTCCCAAACTCGTATACAATATTCTAATTTTTTTCTTTGCTTTATCAACTACTTCTTCAAAGATGGCAATAAAACCCCGTCCGCCCCTCCCCCTAAAATAGTAACTGAAATAAAAATAATTTTTAAAAGCTTTGCTTGGTTGGCACATGAAATATATAGTGTAAAAATGATAAAGGCAAAGAAAATGTGTTTCAATGTCCAAAACATTTGCACCCTTGTTCAACATACCATTCAAATTCAAATCTAGGACGTTACCTTGACCCTCGTGTTGGTGTTTAATGTTTATTTCCTCAATTTAAACACAATATATGACGTATAATGTCAAAAGAATAACATTTTTAAAATATAGTATATCATGTATATAGCCATCAACATTAATAATAAAGATTATAAGAAAAATAGAAACCGATGAGAAAAATAATCAAAAGCTGCCTAAGTGAATAAAAAATGATCAAATTCGGTATTAAAGGGTTATATTCTGACGCAAATGTGTGTTGCATCGTAACAAAAAAATGTCTCTCCGAAGTGAAAGGCTTTTGCTTCTGAGAAAACATCATGCTAAGATGAAAGTGTGTTGTCTCTGAGAGGACATCACTGTGAGGTGAAAGTGTTTTACCTCTGAAATACAATCAAATGGAAATTTCGATGTAAAAGCTGTATTTTTACCTTGCCTAATGACTTGATGCCTCTTGACAAAACAATAAAAGTAAGTAACCAAACAAACAAATTACACAGAGTAAGATTCCACTTGACCCCCTGCATATCGTCCATACCACTCGTCTTTTCCAATACTTTGTGACTGTCAAAGAAAGAAGTTGTTATGTTTATACTTCGTTAAACCGTGGCGGTAAATTGCCTTTAAATGTATAATGAAATACAATGTTTTTCCTGATTGTTCGGTCTTTGACACCTTTGACTAATATTTAACATGCTGTATGTCTTCTTTGGTGCCCATTCGTTGATGTATTAGAAAAAATACATGTTTTGATCGACGATCGTTCTGTTGATCGTATTTAAGAGTTTTTGCTGGGTTTTTTTGTGTTGTTGTTGCTTTTTTTACTTGAACTTTGTCAATGACCTTTTGTTTTCTTTTTTTTTTAATTGATACTATCAAATATGTATATTTTAAGAAGAAAAAAAACATGTTATACATGTAAGTACTAGTGGGGTTTGTGTTGGTGAACATTTATGTGTAGTGTATTATAGTGGATTAGTGTTAGCCATTTTTGTCATTTTGCAATTGGCCATTGTTTTGTATATTTTTTCGACTTATAGTTATTAATTGTTCACAAATTTTTATACAATGTATTGAAAATTAGTATGCATTACGTATAAATCACTGAAAAAAACCCATTAACTTTAACATACAGTGAGGTGAGAGTTTTTTTGCTTGGTGTTGAAGGCCCCACTGTGACTTTCAGATGAAGAACAGCAATAAAAAAACTGTTTCATTGCTTTTTGTTTTTTTTTGCTGAGCATTTATTGATTTTATATTATGGACGGTACCCTATATCCTTTTTTTTCTATTATGTTCATGGGAGAAAATTGTATATGATTCCCCCTGCTAATAACAAAGACAATGAGCGAAATTTTATATATTCCACCATTAATTTTAATTTAGATTTGCCACTAATTCACAATACTTACTTGAAATATTCATCGCTTGCTGATTTAGTGTGGGTGTATGTCATATTCACTGAAATGAAATACACTTTTAAATTTCAAGACAGCAAGCTTCTAAGCATAAGTATTTGTATTATATATGTGACATGGCAAAAAGAAAAAAGAAAAAAAGAATGAAAATAAAAATAAAATAAAAACACAATGAAAATAATAACTGCAACAAACACGATTTTATCTTTTTAATTTAAGCAAACTGTGATATCACTTGTAAAGGAGTAATTTCGGTAAGGGTCATATTTGGCCCCGATTATTATGTTTAAAGTTTCAAGATAATAAATGTTTTAAAGTGATAAAAAGACATGTGAGAAAGTTGAATAGAGCTTTTTTTGTCAAAGTTTTAGTTTTAAAGAGTTGATTTTTACATCCCGAATAGGTCAAAATAGAGATTTTTGCGAAATTTAACAAAATCGTTCAAATTTCAACCAAATTGAGGCCTAGGAAACATAGATCGCAGGCGTCGACAAACTAAATATTCAAGTCGGATATGTAAAATGTGATGACAAACATTTTGTTAAAAAACTTTGTTGTCGGCGCATGCGATCTATGTTTCCTGTCCAAAAAATCATTGGAAATTGACCCGTTTTCATTGAATTTTTGTTGAAAATCAAAATGAGTGCTATTTGTGACATCATAAATAGAACACAAGTACGTAAATGTTCAACAAAAAGACATATTTTCTATCTAGTCATTGTATTAGCTATGATTCATTTTGATATTGGTCAATAAATCCTAATTTAAAATTGTAGTTAGAAATAGGGGACGTTTTAGGGTGTTATCGAACCTACTCCTTTATTGTAAAAAGTCTCTGTTATTATTACTTTTTTCTGTATAATTACATGAACGTTCGATTATAAAGGTACCAGCACTTAGAGTTTACGCAATACATTGCCTTACACAGTAACTAATTTAGTACTTTTGACTAATATAAGAACAAAGGATATGGCGTATCCATCCATGACACAAAATCAGTACATGCACAGAAAAAAAAAAAAAAAACACACACAAAGCAAAGAAAAAGCGCTTTTATTGCTGTTCCATGCACCAAATCGGGCACAGTAAAAAAAGAACATACTTGGAAAGTAGTACATATTTAAAACAAAATAGTTCCTACGCATAGATGTAAATATCAAATTATGTAGAATATTTTTTGGTAATTTAGGTATCAAATGAAAGGTGAAGGACTGTTGATCCTTGTAGAACACATTATAACTGATAATTTTGAATAATACAAAAATGTATTAATGAATTCTAAGATTGAGGGCATATATTGCACTCAGACATGAAGTACCTGGTTTGGTGTATCCAAAGTTCCGGTAACCAGTACGATCTGATGTGTAAATAAGTTTGTTGATCCCGCCCCTCACACGTTTGAAAGTGAAAAACAATTTTTAAACGTGGATAGGGATTGAGGCCAGGCATAGGTGGTGCGCGTCTTATTAAAATTTTAATACACAAACTGGCCTCAAATTGAGAGAATTTAAGTCTGGATTCCCATAGTATAGTTGATGGATAACTAGAGACACTTACTCGATCGACAAATCAGGTCTCACTCTGTTTGGCGTTCAAATGATTCCGTTAAGAGTTTTTTCTTTTTGTTGATACAAATGTAAATTATTTTTCAAATGGAATTACGAGTTTAGAACAGCGGGTAACGAATGTCGCTTCTTACTTACAGCATTCAGGTCTCGTTCCATTCCATGGATCTATCAATGATTCGTTCTGATTCCCATCTCTGCAGTCACACGTATTCCAGTTATTATCGCAGTACTTCCATGGTACCTCCGATTGCATTGATGCAACAAGAAAGTATAAACAGTAAGCGATAATTACTGCATAATATATAGCAACTAATGCTGATACAATTATCATAGCAAGCCCGAGACCTAAAAAGGGCACATCAGTTTGATTTATAATACAGTGTGCAACATTAAAAGTTATAACCATGCTTTGCGAAAAAAGTTTTATTTCAAACTTCACTTTTCGTTTGTTAGCCTGGAAACGGTGCGACTTTAGGGAAAATAATGCATTCTTTTAATTAAGGATATTCATATAAAAAAAAGGTATATATATATATAATTTTATTTCACTGACTGATTATTCTTTCTGATTGCAAATATCTTTCAAAGAAAAATTCTACAAAACCAAGTAAATTAGGTACCATTTTAACAAAACTGCCTGGAACAACAATAAATAGTGATGGAAAGTAATTTAAATCAAATAAAAATATTCAAGTTTATTATTATCTAAGGTTTGAATTCCGTTAAAAATTGGAAGCTTACTGATATCAAAAAACACAGAAATAAAGGTGAAAGTGGCCATAACTATTTCAAAACTTTACCTTTAAATAATGGATTTATCCTCCAAACCTTTAGTGGTCCAAGACTGCAGAACTGACCAAGACACAACTCCAGGTAAAACATTGGTATGCCAATAATTACCATACATATGAAGTAAGGAATGAGGAAAGCTCCTGAAACACGAGCAAGGTACATGTACATAATTAGACGAGTTTCCAATATTGTCTTAGTCTACCTGCAAACTTGAACCCTTGGAACCATTAGAACTCACATCCTAAGTGTTAAAAGGCTAGTAGGTATACAGTAGTTTGACTACTTAGACCACACGGCCACCGATACCCATCAATGAAGAAAAACACACCCTTTAAACATGTTTACAATTTGACGAAGCGTTTTGATATAAAATTTATCCTGATTCAAAGTTTTGTCTCGCAAACTACACATCAGTATATGATGACTGTTTTGTTTGTTATTGGAACCAGATAATGATTTCGAAACAATCGTACAAATGAATAAAAATCGTCCCTTTCTATTATGTTTTTTAAATTTTATTCTGAAATATTTGTTTAAGTGTGTTTTGTTTTTTTTACCTCCGACCTAAAAAATTCGACCAGCATACGGACGCAAAATAAATAAATTTTCTTGAACTGCAATTTATGTTTCGCTTCCCTTTCTTTGATATCTCCTCCTCACATATTGACCTTCAAAACCTGGCTTAACAGTAAGTTAATATTTTAATATAATCTTGCATTAGTTGTAATAACAGCGTAGCAATCTTATTTATACTGATTACAGATATTGACCTTTATGCCTTTTTAGGTATAGTGTGCGATAAGATTTTTTGAGGGAAATTCCCATAACTGAGGGCCTGGATGGGGGTTACAGCATAGAGAATAATGGGCAATGCCAAAATGTGCAGAATAAATGACAAAAAAAAATAAAGAATAGTGAAAAATAGGGCAAACATATAACGAATAGAGAATAATGGGGTGGGGTGCTAAAAGTAAAAAGAATACAGAATAATGGTAAAAATAATAAGGAATATAGAAAAATTACCTAAAAAATTAAAGAATGCACTGAGAAATGAATGACCGCCCAATCCAGACCCTCATAACTCCCGGAAAATTTGTCGAATCACACTGACGATAAAGCATGCAAGGTCAATAGAATACGACGACAAATAATCCTACAAAGTATGAATTCAACGCTTTGTGTTAAACGGTCTCTCAGTTTTGGTGTGTTTCGGACTGACGGACGGATACCATCACCATATCACCAACGGCAAGACACGAGGGGGACAATAATAAATTATAGATTTTGTCGATGAACTTACAAAATGTTTCGATCAAATAGGTATGATGGATAAGTAGCAAAACTCATATTTTTAGAGTACATTTTGTAATACTTACTACTTTGAATTAGAATTTCACACACACAAGAAATTCATCTGTACAATATTGTAAAATACGTAACTTTTAAGAGCTGGAAACTACGTGAGCATTTATACAGAAAGAGGACATTTTAGAAAATAAAAATACAGAGTAAAAAGGATATTTTAAACTAAAAACATCAATCCTGTAACACGTAAAATGCATTTGGATTTTATTTTGATACTTAAACCTTTTTCTGTTAAACAGGTTTGTCTGTAATAGAAGTGGGACATTTAAAGACGTATCGTATCCGTATCTGATACGTTGACGTATCTGCATGTATTATGTTAACATACTTGCTTTATGTATGTCAAAATTCTGTCTTAATCACATTTATTGCCCTTAAAGTGATGTATCTACGATATATATTTACAGTACCTATAATACAATTATAAAAACATTACATGGACGACACCAGAAGCTAACATTTACACACATTTAACAATCACGTGATTTTTGTGTCAATCTGTATACTTGTATAAATTTTAGCACTCGATATTTGAATCATTAGAACTACCCAGGCGTGAAGTTCAATTACAAAATAAATAAAGTTAAGGATTGTGTACCCTTTTGTTGTTTCAATGCTAAACATATGGACATTTTATAGAAATCCACAGCCTTTCACCTTGTCCTCAGGCTCTTATATTTGACAATTCGGTGCGTGTTATATAGAGGATTATTACATGTCGTGCTAGCAATGGTTTTCTTTAAACAAGTTTATCAATAAAGATATTGGTTAAAACAAATAAAAATATGGACCAATTCAAGTACACCTCCTGTAGGGTGCGCTCGACTTTAGTGACTCAGCACGATGAGTTTTGGAATATAAAGGTTGTTTATGATTTTTTGTTAAAAACAAACGCTAGCACATCATGAACAAACAAGTAAGTAATCTACGTTTATAATTTTATAACGAAAATCTCTGTATTGAAGTCTGTAGGTTTTCTGCAAAAATCTTTGCTTTATTTGCTACAAAATCACTATTTTCTATAAAATACAATAAAACATAGATAATATTTCTTTGAATCAATTTCCTATTGGTATATGTACGAAATGACAGATCTCTTTTATTCGTTATCTTCGCTGTTTTGCTATTATTTCATCTTATACATTTCGTACTACACAGGACTACAGAAGCGGTTATAAACCGTACGTGAACAATATTTATACACATACTTTATTGCTTGTAAATGAGGATTGTGTCGGATTTATTACTTATACCAATAATAATAAATTTGTAAATTGGCAGGCAATACTTTTTTTCCCAAATATTTAAACTGAAAGAGACCGAAAAAATCTGCATCACCCTTTCCTTATATTTCCCCGCTTTTCCCTATTCTTGAAATCTCTACCATGATTTTGACTCGATCATTAACTACATTTGCATTATTATTAAAATTCACGCATGAAAATGATGACGGTTAAATATCTTTTGTTCAGATATATACGATTATTCATAAATTAAAAACTATCATGTCATAAAAAGAGTGTATTAATGACCAAAAGATATCTAACATAGAAAAAACACATATACATGTACTATTTAAACACGTAAATGATCATTTAAACAATAACCCATAGATACGTTCAGATACGTCAACGTATCAGATACGGATACGATACGTCTTTAAATGTCCCACTTCTATTCAGAATAAATATATGTAGGTGCAAATGCGGCGATATGTCTGAATGCCTTATGATAAGCCTTAAGTTTCGTAAACGTTTGCGTTGAATTGAGAGCTATTAATGAGTAATTAATCTGCTGATCTTTCGGTTGGTTTGATGTAATTTTTGCATTTTTTTTTAAAGTTATGTCTTATAATGTGTCGTGACTGTTAGATTGATTGATTGGTCGCCACTTTCAACACTATGGTGCTTTTTCGTGGCGGTCAATTTTTATTGGTGGAAAAAGCCTGAGAGAATCACTGACCTTCGGTAGGAAAACTGATAATCCTTGTCAATTAAGATTGGAGTCGAGTGCACCTGCCCGTGCAGAATTCGAACTCGCAACCTCAGTGTTGACTGGCTAGTGATACAGTAGTTCGACAACTTAGACCACTCGGCCAACGAGGCCTCATGACTGTTAGAAGAAACATTTTCGTTGTTTTTTTTCGGCGCAGATTGAAGAATGAATCGAACTTTGAATTTGCGATTTCTGGTTAGTTTGAATTCGTGACGGTCTTATAGCGAAAATCAAACAGCCGCGTAAATTTTGCAGTCTATAGTATTTTATAAATATATATATTCGATTATTATTTAGACTATTGTGTTGTGTGTACCCATTTCATTGGCACACCAAAATGTTTTTTTATGCCTAAAATGTTTATATATTCCATTCAACGTGTCCGTGTCTTACTTATTTATCAAAATGCAACAACCATCTAAATTAGACAATTTCTACCTCCACCGTTTTTGAAACATAAATAAGGAAATCTCCAAACATTTCCTAATCCGACAGCAAATCCGACACATGTAAGGATAAATTCGACCTGGCTCCCCCAGTTCGCTCGTTCCTGTTTCGATACCTGAAAAGAGATCACATTAAAAATAGTATTTTCGAGGATATTTAATTTCGTGGTTTTTGTTTCACCTTGACGGAGTCAAAGGGCGAGACTTCGGTATTCGGCGTCAACAACTGGTTAAAGTTGATGATAAGGTTAGTTTAAGGATAAATTAATGATATTTTGCTAGCAGTTGTATAATTATTGGCATACATCATTTCCATGGAGATTATTTGGCCCCACCCTCTTAGTCAAGGTGTATTGACTGAAACTTTTGCATAGTTTACAGGTAAAGTTAGTGATTAGGTCAGTCAAAGGGGAACCACTTAGGTCAATGATATTAAGTTTGCAGTTGTATAAGCATTGGCACATCTCTTTTCCATGGAGATTATTTGGCCCCGCCCCCCTCTATATATATGTTTTTTTCTTAGTATAAAACTTTTGCATAGTTAACAGTTGTGTTAAGGTCAGTTTATAAGGAGAACCGCTAATGATAAGCTAATGATACTTGGTAAACAGTTGTATCAGCATTGCCACATGTATAATAACATACAGGCGAGGCCTGTATCTGTGTCAACAGCTTATTATATAAATACAGCATATACATAAATAAGAAATTCGTACTTAAATTTGACACTTAAATTCGTGGTTTACCTATACCTATGAAATCCACTAAAATATGTACCCAATAAACGCATTATAAAGAATCCACAGTAGTATGAAAATGAACTTTAATGGACTCTGTCAAGGACAACAGCGACATGTTTTTTTCTTCAGAAATTTAATTCACCGAACCTAAAAAAACGTTGCTATTTTCGTTTCCAGAGTGAGAAATATGGTCGTCCTTTTTATAATAAAAATAAGGAGATGAAGTATGATTGCCAATGAGCCAACTATCCACCAGAGTTCAAATGAAGTGGATGTAAGTAATTATAGGCAACCGTATTAGACGATTTTACATATATCGACAGTGGCAAGAAACAGTATAGGATCAATAATTTGTACACTGAAGTTCCCATCATACTCACTGGGGGTTCACCGATTCAGAATATGTACTTTTGCAGGAACCCCACTCAAAGATGAACATGCCATTACGGATTGGTAATTGACAATGACATCAGATATACCCATCCGTTTTTTTTACATTTTTCTAATATTAAGTATCTCAATGGCTTTCTTTTTGTTTGAACTAAGACCTTACACCCTCAATGACGTTGACAAGACGTCCCGAGGTAATGTCACCGTTGACATATATATGAGCTTTCATCGCTTTGTTAACATGATGCAAATGGAAGATACAGAAACTAATCGAAGCAAACGACAGTGGAATGTATATTACCTTATATATACTTTATTGCAAAAAGTAAAACCCTGAAGGCCGGGTTAAAATACAAACATACACAAGAAACATACAATACACGAAAAAAGCAAGTCAAGTTAATATTAACAAAATATAAGTATATAGATAATTGACCAATGTGGACCTTATTTTCGGAATTCCATGGATTGCTTTATATAGCCTACAACACTAGGCAAAATTTAAAGACCTATCCTTGACGATCTGTTATGTGGACGATTGAAATGGACACATAAGTATAAAACGCAAGAATTGTTTTGATCAACAAAGACCCCGGCAGCAAGAACCGATGCTGTTGGAAAGGCAAATTGTCCGATTTTTTTTTAATTTTGGGGGAAAAGGGGGAGGAGGGGCGACGGAGTCTTAACACCTGACCACCAAAGCTTGAAACACAGATTGCAAGCAGTTCTGCATCTTGTTTTAAAAGTTGACGTACAATGTAAGTTTAATCGTACGACAAAGACCCCCCAGCCCCCGGACTATTCTGCCTTCATTTCATTAAGTCGATCTATCAGAAAAGGATGACGAAAACCTGTCGTCCCATGACCCGGTATTATACTCATGTACTCCATTGTCACTTTTGTGTTTGAACTTTTAGGACCAAAAAATCGACTGAAATTAGGCTGGAATCCAATTTTTCAAGTTGAAACTTCAAAAGCGTCCTTATTTGCAAAGGCATTTGTACGCATTTACTGAGAATAGAATATTCTGAAATTCTGTGACGTCACAAATATTTTCATATATATAAGTAAAGACGTTTCCAATTAGGTATGAATTTGCAGTGAATAAGTAATTTAACATGTATGCTTCCCAAAAAAAAATTTGGAAGCATATAGTAATCGCTTTGTCCGTCCGTCCGTCTGTCTGTCCGAAGGTGTCCGAATGATAATAACGTGAGTATTCTTTTGTTTGCTTGATTGGAAGGAAACTTACAAGTACAGATAAAAGATATAGGGAAGGGAACGAAGCTTTTTGATTTTGGGGTCAACAGGTCGATGGTTAGGTCACCGTTTCTAGAAATAGAATAAGATATCAATGCTTTCCGGATGGTAACCGAAGTTTCACTTGCTTGATTAGAACGAAAGGTATACAGATGAAAGAGGTAGGGGATGGAATAAGCTAGGATGAGACAGATACAATGAGGGAGAATAATCCTATTGGTATGGGGTCATTAGGTCAAAGGTTTTATTAAAAAGATGTTATTTGGAGTGATAATCTGATGAAAATTCTGACCTATATTAAATCGCGTGCTTGTACATATAAGAGTATAACGAAATCAGAGAACTGTATTTTAATTAGATTGTTTGGAGTGAAACATATTTGCTACAGGTCCGTGTTTTAATAGATATTAGGCATGATTTTTTACAAAATAGCTTATAATATTTTAATACTTTCCTTACTAATCTGTCATTATTTAACACAATAAAACCTCCATTTTGTAGATTTGTGTAAGAAATGTAACCTTTAGTTTTTTTATGAATAAATGTGGGGTTTCGGAAGCATTTGGTTGGCGGTGCGAACTTTTTGCTTGTTCAAATATAAAAAAGAAGATGTGGTATGATTGCCAATGAGACAACTCTCCACAAGAGACCAAATGACACAGAAATTAACAACTATAGGTCACCGTACGGCCTTCAACAATGAGCAAAGCCCATACCGCACAGTCATCTATAAAAGGCCCCGAAATGACAATGTTAAACAATTCAAACGAGAAAACTAACAGCCTAATTTATGTACAAAAAATGAACGAAAAACAAATATGTAACACATCAACAAACGACAACTACTGAATTATAGGCTCCTGACTTGGGACAGGCAGATACATACAGAATGTGGCGGGGTTAAACATGTTAGCGGGATCCCAACCCTCCCCCTAACCTGGGACAGTGGTGTAACAGTACAACATAAGAACGAACTATAAAAATCAGTTGAAAGAGGCTTAACTCATCAGATGGATAAAAATACATAAACTACAAATACAAGTGGACGTGGCCGGGTACTTGTACATCCAAACAACAAAAAGACACTAAGTACAGATCTGAGAGTACTCGCAGTTACTAACAGCTAGTTCAAAGCCACTAACAACTAATAAAAAAAATCATGCATCTAAGACTAAATTATCAATCCGTACACATCCAAATCCAATGGATTTAGTGTAAAGACGTCATAAACAGTCAGAGAAAAACGTGACCTTGCCGGTGCAATGCCAAGATACAGGTATCGACAGATTGTAGATCCATGAACGTGTATATGTATATAACAATAATATTTAGTTTGCTTTTAATTTACTGATAACAAAATCAATATTAGTACCAATAAAAACAAGATTTAATGACCTAATTACAGTGTTGAATTGGTAACCTTTTAGAATAAGTTTATTTAAAGGATCGATAAGTTTACCAGGATCGTTTCTAAATTTCCGGGCACGGTAAACAGTATTGCCGTAAAAATAAGGATGCGCAATCCCGTTTGAAATAAGTTTTCTACAGGTACTACCAAACTTCAAAACCAAAACTTTATATTTGTGGAAGAATTTAGTAAAGGTTTAATAATTTGTGGTAACGAAATCCCTGGCTTAATAATTTACCAGTAATACATAGATTACGTTCGTTAAAATCAAAAACGTCACAACAGACACGGGAATAGCGAACGAGTTGTGAAATATAAACACCGTAAGGTGGTGCCAAAGGAACAGATTGTTCTCAGCAAGAAACTGCATTAGGTTCTGCCTATGGAATAAAATACATACGCCCATTTTCATAAACAAATGTTTTTGTCGAGCCTTCGACTTTTGTCGAAAAAGCGAGACATAGCGATCCTACATTCCGTCGGCGTCGTCGTCGTCGTCGTCGTCGTCGTCGGCGGCGTCCACAAATATTCACTCTGTGGTTAAAGTTTTTGAAATTTTAATAACTTTCTTAAACTATCCTGGATTTCTACCAAACTTGGACAGAAGCTTGTTTATGATCATAAGATAATATCCAAAAGTAAATTTTGTAAAAAAAAAATTCCATTTTTTCCGTATTTTACTTATAAATGGACTTAGTTTTTCTGCCAGTTAATATTACATTCACTCTGTGGTTAAAGTTTTTGAAATTTTAATAACTTTCTTAAACTATCCTGGATTCCTACCAAACTTGGACAGAAGCTTGTTTATGATCATAAGATAATATCCAAAAGTAAATTTTGTAAAAAAGAAATTCCATTTTTTCCGTATTTTACTTATAAATGGACTTAGTTTTTCTGCCAGTTAATATTACATTCACTCTGTGGTTAAAGTTTTTGAAATTTTAATAACTTTCTTAAACTATCCTGGATTTCTTCCAAACTTGGAGAGAAGCTTGTTTATGATCATAAGATAGTATCCAGAAGTAAATTTTGTAAAAAAAAAATTCGTTTTTTTCAGTATTTTACTTATAAATGGACTTAGTTTTTCTGCCAGTTAACATTACATTCACTCTATGGTTAAAGTTTTTGAAATTTTAACAACTTTCTTAAACTATCTTGGATTTGTACCAAACTTGGACAGAAGCTTGTTTATGATTAAAAGCTAGTATCTAGAAGGAAATTTTGTTAAAATTTTGTTCCATTTTTTCCGTATTTTACTTATAAATGGACTTAGTTTTTCTTCCAGTTAACATTACATACAGTCTGCAGTTTAAGTTTTTAAAACATTTATTAGATTCATAAACTATCCTGGATTTTTACCAAACTTGGACAGAAGCTACTTACAATCAAAAGATAGTATAGAGAGGAATATTTTTATTAATTTTTTTTCCTCATTTTTGTTGAGCCTGCGATTAACAGCAAAAGTAGGCGAGACACTGGGTTCCGCGGAACCCTTACGAATTTTTGTTTTATGCATTATCTAGTAATAAAGATATATTTTTGATTATAAGTAGAACACGGATGAAAATGTTCTAAGATCATTTCGTTCTCAGCAATAAATGTCTTCTTTTTATGGAAAGAATTTCTCCAAAATCTCCAAAGCAAAAACATTTCCATGTGATCTGATTTATTTTCACTCGACCAGGCATTGTCGTTAACATATCGTTCGAGAATATGAAATCCAAATATTTCAGGTATTTCCAATGAAAAACAATAGTTTTCAATTGCAATTCCAAGGTCAAGGCTCAACACTTGACCTACATTCTTTAATTTTAAACTAATTATGTGGTTTTTTTTTTTAAAACCTGTGCATCCGCGTGTAACACTCTAGTTGTTTTTTATTATCATTAACCGAGATATCTGGCATTAGGATGGACAAAATAGACAATAGTTGATTTGCTTTTTTGGGGTCAGATACCAGCGCGAAAACGTTTGGTAGACGGGACAAAAATGTTCAACAAAAAACCAAGCTGTGACAGTGACTTTTTATCTCTAGTCAATGATTCCAAGACAATAGTTATTCCAAATGTTTGTGTATACGCTAAATGTATCATCATTTAACCTTCTTTATGCTAATATGAACAAATGAAAAGTGATGCATATGTAAATGAGACATCAACCCAACGATATAAAAAAATATAGTTCTAAGTCCTCAGCATAAGGTCTTCATTATGATCATGACCTCTTTTTTTAAGTGACCACCATTATTTACTTGCTGCATTGGTGATATTGAGTCTGATCCTGAGTGATACAGGAGATTAAGAAATATGCTCACCTCGACTTCTCGTATATATAAACTACAAATCCAATGACCTTATTTTCAATAATTGCTTAACTCAAGTTTTTT